TTAGGGGATTGTATTACATCCCTATAACTTCAAACCATTTGATTTGTATTGAAAATTTGTATTTTTTACAACATTCTTTTAAAATCAAAAGGCATCAAAGGATCACCTACTACGAATGAATTTTTATACTTTGATGATTATGACGTTTATACTATGATGATAACTCTACTTTCTTTTTTGTTTAAACATTTTTTTTTTCGTTTTATGGGTATAGATTACTCAGAGATGAAATATTTTTCTGCATTAAAGAGTATCCTATATGTTGACCCAGATAACCAGCTATCATCATACCAAAATTTATCAAAATCGTCAAGTGGTTTTCTCGTGATGCGTTCCTAGACAGACAGACAGACAGACTAAAATTCTAAAAACTATAGATTCGGCCTCTATTTATATAATAATGAATATTTCAATAAGATTTTCCAAAAAATATTTAATGTACAGATTCGACGAGTTAATATTTTATTATATGTATAGATTTATTGGGGACAGTTATACGCTATCTAACATAGCGCTACTTTAGGGGCGGTGGTTGCTTATTCTTTTTAAATACAATACACGAGCAAAGACTATTTATACTATAAAATTATTGTTAAGTTTCAGTACAATTGGATGTTTATTTCCCACAAAGAGCGAGTTTCGAGTTAAATGACGATACAAACTTCTGCGAAGCATCCAAAACACTTTCTTTTTTCGTGTAGATATGCTACTTGAAAGTAATTATAATTGTCAGTATGTCTGTTTCACATGAGAAAATGAAAGACTGTACATACTTAAGTACATACCTATAACTTTTAACAATACATTTGCAAGCAACGCTTCAAACTTAAACAAACTTACTTCTGGGTAATCTTTAAAAAACGTGGGTGTGTCCGTTTTGAATACTTAAGTACTTATGACTAACTCCCTTATCAATAAACTAGCAGAACTCGCGGCTTCGCTCGCGCTAAAAGTACAAAAAAGCTAGAAGTGGGTTTCATAAAAATTTTCAGGCCTTATTTTACCCTCTTAGGTTCGTTTCTATGTAATATTTCTTTATTATAGTTCATTCGCGTTAAGAAAATAGAAGTCATCATTGTCCACCGGCCTAGCCACGCCCCCCGACCAATTAGGTTGCATAAAATTATAAGGTCAAGTTCACAATGACCAGTTGAAGGCAGACTTAAATATACTACTATTAATGACTTCAATTTGATTTGAGATAATTTAATTGTTTTAGATTAAATATCTCACATCGTCATGATTTTTATCAATTAAACTTAATCTTTTGAAATATATTTGAATAGAATTTTTGCTCCACTGTGAATACACCTTTACCTGCCGTTGCACTTGATCATTCTATTTTCTTAACGCGAATGGACTATATCGACTTACTTTCGCTTTTTATTCGAATAAATCGAGGTGGGTTTATTTTTTTTTAATGGGACCTTAATTCTTTTTCTAAAATAAAAGTAGCTTAAGTTATTCCTTATACCACCAGTTATCTGCCAGTGAACGACCCGCCAAAAGCAGTCCAGCCATTTTGGCGATTAGCCGGAAAAAACATACAGGCAAAAAATTTAAAAATTGTTTTTTTTTTACAAGTATTCGTTACTTAATTTCATATGTATTTAGTAAAAAGCTATTATTTTGACATTACAAACGGACACTTCAATTTTATTTATCTGTATAGATAGACATATCTTATTGTTACAGGTACGTATAATGCAGCGTTGAAAGAATTATGACATCAGTTCAGTGGTTTCAGTTTATCGATTACAAAGAAACAAATCATTTCTCTTTATAATATAAACTGTACAGAGGAGTAATTATAAATAGTTTATGTCTGTCTGTCTGATATGGACACAAATCTATATAAAAAAGGAAACTCTGTTCGTCGGTTCCCAGAAAATTAGAAAATTCCGAAAAAACTGGGTACTTTTTTATATAGCATTTGAACTCACAACATCACAAATTTTAATGAAATTCGGACAGGACGTCTGCTGGGTCAGCTAGTTCATAATAAATAAAATAAAAATTCCAAACAGACTCGGTATTTTATTAAACGTCGACGTTATCAGGTACAGTACACAGGTCTACATTAATTTTACATTCAATTCAATACGACGTGATATATCACGGCGTACGACCACATGAATAAGTATCCCCAAGACAAATCTTCATACAACCACTGAACAAGAATACACTACTACATAAGGCAGTATAGAGCTCACCGAAGAGTTCAAGTACACATGTCGCAGTGCCCGTTGACAAAAGCGGTTTTTTTCTAGCTAGATCTGTTGACAATGTTACGCCAAGTGTGTCACGCTAAAAACCACTATGCAGTACCGCTTTATACAGTAGCGTACCTAGATTTGTGATTGTATGAAACATTGTCTCCTCATCGATTGACATTTACCCATGTGGTATGGCCCCAAGTCGTCGTATCTAGAAACGGTGACCACATATTGCAGACTTATATAAAATAATTATCAAAAGAAGTGTGTGCGTTAAATTGTTTATATAGGATTGATAGGCTATAACATTATACAGGTATGTTTCATAATTTTAACTAATAGTTTTTTAGGGCCTATGCACACCACGTTTTATAAACCCGCCGACGTTTCAAGGGTCTACACACACCACCGTTTCATTAACGCGCCAAAGAGGCGCGTATCATGAGCGTATATCGTTTGCACGTATTCTTCGCTGATAATTTAAAAAATTGCTTCCTGCGTTCGAATCTGCGCGTCGAACGCGCGTTATAAGCCGTCGTGTGCATACGTCCTTAGGCTAACAGTTGATGTTAATTCCTGTGATATACACATATGCTTAATTATTTTTAGTAAAATATTATAATAGAAAAAAATATTTCGTTTTATATAAAATCTACAATATGCGCTCACTTTTGCATTAGATCGAATGTACCGATAGTATACCTTCTTAATAAATTAGCTAACACAACAACTTCGAGTATTTAACTATTTTCAGGCATACATTGGTTTTGAATACTAGTCTTGCTAGTTTATTATGCACCTCAAAAGGCTGTTCGCGCAGATCACGGTTAAACAAACCAAAGTTTTTATAGAATTTATTATGGAAAGCACTGAAATCGATATGTTTAGGCTACTGTACCATGGGAGGACGACAACATAAATATGTATAATAATATACTTTATTAATTATTATATAATTTTTTATTATATAAATTGTAACAAGCGGGAATCGAATCGCATATAAAAAAATACAAATATTCAAGCTATTTGCTCTATTATTAATTCAATGTCGTACCGTAATCAGCGCGATTATCGAAAAATTATTTTAGTTACAGGATATGTCGTAGGCATTAAGACAATAAGATAAGTTTTAAAATTTAAGACATTTTAAAAAATCAAAATAGTACAAAATTTGTTTTCACGGGCCATTGTGTCCTTAGAGGACTTGTGAAAAATGACTATGTTTTAAAATAAATTTAAAAAAATTATATTACCATTACATTCATTTTTGGCCCAAACTGTTCTTAAACATAATATATTATATCTAAATAGAATATATACAGTACTTACATAAACATCAACTTTTATGATAAAGATCACTTCAGTTTTTTTCCACTATGTATTTTAGCTTATATTTATTTATAAGCGCAATGTAGGAAGTCGTTACATTCACTCATACAATAAGGTTATTCTTTTATATGTTTTATTTATTTTACTACCATTTTCATATAAACATAATATTGCAAAACAAAGTTGCTTCAAATTACATATAAACAGATAATTTTTTATTTGACTTTGAAATTTATAATGATATAATATAACTTAAAACATTATGCGACAGCAAATGCTGAAGGAAACGGTGTCAGTGTTTATTACTGTTTCTTATTTAAGACCCGTCTAGACGAATTTTGTACTCAAATTTTATGCTCTCTTAATGCGTCCAGCAAATGCTATAAATTATAATAATTTATTATCTATCACCCACGTCATATCCTGCATTTTGACGCCAAGATGTTATTGCACTAAGTATGGATAAATAAGTTTCATTCAAGAGCAAAGCAATTAAATCATACATGGCACAATTAAAACATTCAAAAAATAAAAAATAAAATATCCTCATATAATCACAACAAAATTATGTACCTTTGGACACTATTATTAGAAAAATCCAGTCTTTTCTCTCAACTCTTGATGTAACTATGTAAATTATACCAAAAATTATTCTGCCTTTTATACTAATGTTTACAAAATTCAACCTTTTTGGTCCCATTCCCAATGTGCACAGATAAATAATACTGCTGCCCTCAGTCCAAAGGTACAGAAAAAAAAATAGAAAATCTTAAAAAATGTGAATAAGAAAAAGACAGTATTAGAGAGAATAACCCTGTTGACTCATATTTAGAATTGTACAGTCGTATTAGTTCATAAATATTGAAGTTATCAGTAAGGAAAAACAATGACAATTGCATACTTCAGATACTTATTTGGTCATAAGTAGAAAATAACAAATGTTTTATAAACACTGTATTATGTGAAAGTACTTTAAAACCTTGGATCAGTAGTCAATTATTCAAATTGCCCTTCCCAGAAGTGGGTTAGCCATACAAAAGTAATGAATCACATTTCAAATATTCAAATGATTTGAATGAGGTCCTTCATCATTCATATTTAATAAGCAAATCAATTAACGCTATGATATTCAAGATTTTTGCTTTTGCTTAGCGCTTACAAGAAATTTAATAAACTCAACATGGCAGATCCTTATACAACAGAAACTATGGGACATCATATTACAGCCGACATTTGTTTTTAATCTATAAACATACAAAACTCTAAAACAATAATAACAAGTATCCACCATACATTCAAAACTATAAATATTAATTAAAATCAAAACTTATTTCTACACTTGTATGCACACATTCAAATTCAGATGAACTGAAATGTATCCACATGTTATACACAACATAATGTAATCTAGATACATCAAATTAAAGCTTTCGATAAAGGAGGGGATGGGGCTCAGAACTTGAGCTTGGGTTTGAGCTCGTGGGCACGACCGCCCCAGTCTAAGCGATAGCTGCGAGTCCGCCACGAGATTTCAGGGTTGAGCAGAGCAGCGGCCAGAACGAATGGCGCGCAACACTCACTCCAAACCCACGCAAGAAGAAACTCCACTTTCGTAAACGGCGGCGAACCGTTTTGCACCGAACACAACATCAACCAGTCCGACAAAAACCACACTAGCACATGCACTAGAAAAAACGGAAGAGGTTCTGCGCCGAACAGCTCCCCGGCGGCCCACGCGGCGCCCGCGCCTAGTGGGATGCACTCACTGAGGGGTTCTAGCAAAGCCGTAGTAGGCACCATCGCTATGCGAAGCCGAGCCCACCTCTTTAACCGCGCTTGTAGTCCTCCGATAGATTTGGCGCCAGAATTCTGTAACGCCGGCAGGGACGCCACTCGCATTCGCCAGCCTCGAGATACTATGGCCTTAGCCATGAAGTAATCCTCCGCTAAGTATTCCCCGAAGGCTGCCAGCCCGCCATTCTCCTCCAGCGCGCATCGTCGAACCAGCGACGACATACCCACATGACAATTAATGCCGAGAAAATCCGCGCTGAGATACATCCGCGCCTGCGCCGTGCCGAAGTAAACCTTCTCGTAGACCGCCGCGAAGCCGTCCGCATCAAAAGCGAAAGGCATCTGATGTACGATCGCCACATCCTCATTCATATGTTGAACCATGTCTAATAAAGTGTCCTCTCGCATACGGATACCCGAATCACTCACTAATATTAAAGGATACTTTGCAGCCAAGTACGCCGGTTGCATATTATTTATTTTAGGGTTAACACCGACACACAACCCTCCGATAAACAACCTAGCATCCACTTGAGGATACTTATGTCGAAGGCTGTTGACGAGCATCACGGCCGGGTCGTGATCGTTTTCAACACAAAATAGTAGCTCGTAGCTAGGATAGTCCAACGTAAAAAACGTCTCCAAGTTCGAAAACAGGTTAGGATCGACACCGGTCAGAGGCTTCAAGATAGAAACTCCAAGATATGGTTGTTCAGGCGCTGACCGGTCCACAGTTCGGTGCAATTTCCACTTCGAGTATGACAGGGCCATTATGTGAATTAGCCACAAACAAATCCACGCAATCATAAAAAATATAGCGAAACCATACACTGTGTACACCATAGGCATCATAATTGTAAAATTCTTATGTCGTTCTCGCGTTCCGGCCACATAATATCGACTGGTTTCGAGTGTCTAGAACCGTGCGCTACGATGCGACCATAACACTAAACTGATAAAATACGCGACGATAAATGTGATATCCACACGCGCCACCGATTTACTTTGCATTATCTCGACATTTTTAACGTAAAGACGAATTTCATAATTTTTCGATAGCTTCTCTCGTGAATCTAAAGTGAACAGTACAACACAACCAATAGAACCAACCGCCGCCCGTCATTTCTGTAACTTCGAACGACACTTCGAGAGTCGCTTTTGTAGATTGTGTTGCCACTTAGAAATGTATAGTTCATATAAATACTAATTAGTAATTTATATTACTTATATTTATTGTAATGCGTATAATATATTATCCTTTTAATTATTTTATTATATTTAATAATATGTGTTGAATAATTATAAAAATTCTTAAGACTGATACAACCAAATCTAAAAAAAAAACTTAAATATTGAAACGACTTTTGTAGTGTAATACCGCAGCACACACCAGACCGATCATCCATCACATTTCACCCACTCTCGATTTAATCACTCCAATTTTGTAAGCAACTAATTTTGTAGGTAGAGTAACCACGTTGCGAGCCTTACATTTTTTATACGTTATGGGATACTTAATTACTTATTTCGGTAGAAATTGCCATTTATTACTTAACAACAGAATTTTCGTTTATCACTGCAATAAAATATTCAGCGCCGGATTGAACTTTAGTATAAAATGCCACCCAATTGCATTTTCTATAACGCGAAGATTTTATTTTCCGCCCTCCGAATTTCGCCGTCCTGGGGCTCCGAGATCCCTTTTTTTTACGTTGGGAAATGCATTTACGCATGAGGTGTGGGACTCACCGGCGTAATAAAGCCAGTACTACCCACTAAAACCCAACAAAACCTTCCCCTGTCTTAATGGGACGTCGCAGGTTCGCTTACGCATTCAACTACGACGCCCCGACGGCAGGTCTGCTGAAGCAGACCACCAAAACCATGGGATTGCTCCAAGGTCCACTCTGCTATCAGAGAAGTACCAGGAGCAACCCGCATAGTACACCGCCTACCGAAGAGGGCCACCTCCCACCGCCCACCGAAGTGGGCCACCTCCCACCGCCCACCGAAGTGGGCCACCTCCCTGTGCGTTTCTTGGCTTCGCGCCCGGTTGGATTGCCGGGCACTACTGAGCCCCCCCACCACGACAAGGTGAACGCACGCCTCCTAGTGTAAATCCAGCGCTGAAAATATTACCTTCTATAAAAAACAAAAAAATAAGTCAGTAAATGAGGAGGTTTTGCTTTAATTGTATTGTGCCACTAATAATAAGTAATTTTGAGTTTCGATAATAAAGTTTTGTCAGATTATTTTATATAATATTGAAATTAATTATGGTTAATGCTTAGGAAAAGCTTCAAGATTGTCAGTTATTATTCTTTACAAACTTTATTATATCTATGGCTTAAACAGATTTATTATGCCGAAGCTTATAAACTTAATGTTGCCATCAGTTGCCATAAGCGAATAAATTATAAAAGCTTCGCGAAGATTTTTTAATTTTTTCTTCGCGGGAAATATATCTTAGTTTAAACTTATGAAATTGTGATTTGTGATGCGTCAAAAATTTTATAAGTGAAAATGGAAGTTAATAAATTGTTAAAAACGGTTAATAATGTGGACGATTATATATCTGCTACTCAAAATATGTTAAATGAACACTCAAATTCCAAAATACAATTTAATATGTCGACTGTCTTGGCATTAAAGAAAGTCCGTTCAATTGAAATAGAAGTAAGTATAGTCATTTTGTAATTCTGTTGATATGTTTTTTTTACAAATGAAGTAAAATATTATTATATTTCCCTTACTTTCATGGTTTTAGTATTTTACGAAATATGGTGAAAATGGAGCAGCGGTTAAGATTCTGGATTTATTACTGCGGTCGCCCCCGTCTAAAACTTGGGCTCTGCTAGGAAAGGAATTAATTTTACTATTCCAATACTGGCTAGATGCCTTAAGAAAACATCTTATAGTCCATAATAGTAATTGGTGGAGTTTTTTAAGCGTTTTATTAAAATTTATACAGGTATTAATTTCAAATAATAATCTAGTTTAATTTTAAAGTACACAAAATGTTTATAAAATAATTGCTAAATACAAAAGTAAAATTATTGAATATGCATATTTTAATCAGGAAATCCGCTTGAAAAATGCTATCTTAACTAATATTTTAATACAAGAAACAGCAGAGTGCTTATTAGATTTAGCAACTCAAAGTGAACCAGATGTAAACCAAAGATACAAAATATTGCAATGTTTAAATAGTTTTTGTGCCGAATCAAGCAGAGAGATAAGATTTGCTTTAAAGGATAATTTTGAAGATTACTTGTAAGTTTTCCTAAATTTAATACTAAATACTTAATATAAGAAGATAAATAATTTTATAACTTTATTGACTATTAATGTATTAAACAAGCAACCAGTACTTAAATACTTAATTTTTTTCATGTTATTTACTCAAATTACAATAACATTTAATTTCTTATTATTAGCAATTTTTTTTAATAAAACACATTTTTAATAAAAAGTTGGTAATACAAATTTTTTTCTTATAAATTCTCAGTTATCATATATTATGACTATAATATTATATCATTATTTTTGAACTAAAGTTTGCAATAACCAATCAAAATTAATTTAATGAAAATTATCATTATTTATATAAAATTTAAATGATACTTAACAAAAATATTTATCATTTTTAAATAGCATTAAATTAGGAACACTAGTGACCTCATGTGGTGATCTTCGAACTCAATATAGTATAATGGAAACTCTATTGCGATGGTTATTACCCCGCCAAGATCTTGCAGTCCGAAAGGAAGCATCAGCCAAGTGGTTTCCTAGTAATCTTTATAAAAGCCAAGCTGTAGATGTGTTCTTGAGACGACCCTGGCAGAACTTCTTTAAAGTGAGAATATTTCACTTCATATAGATTTAATTTTATCATGGCCTTACAAACAAATATTGATCTTTAATTAAGTGCAGGTCAAAAACCTATTGTTTTATGTATATTCATTAAAATTAAAAATAATAAAGATGAATAGATAAATAAAATAAATATATTGGAAGATTAACACACAGCATCATTTAGTTCCATGGTAAGCTACGAGGCTAGTGTTATGGATACCAGATAGTTGATACACTACACATATAATATAACTTAAAATACATACATATTATATATATATGCTCATGACTAGAGTATAAACATTTGTGCTCGTCACACAAATGAATGCCCCCAGCGGGACTCGAACCCGCGACCGCTGGCACAGTAAGTCGGTCACTACAAACTGAGCCAAACGTGTTGTCACATCATACATATAGACATTTTACAATTTTTATCATTTTACGAATAAATAAATTCAAAATTTTATGTTAATGTTGGTAGTTGACATATTTTTCAATGGTGATTTAGAATGTTGTAATATCTTTGAAAGTAATATTTCACATACTCAGAGATGCGAGGCCCGGAATTGAACCCACTTTATTTTCTTTTTAAGAAAACAGCCCTCCAATGAACAAGACCTGAAATAAAAAGTTAAAGAAATAACAAATGTTTCAGGACGCTAGAGATTTTTTGAATGCGCAAAATGAAGCAAGTGACCTAGTGACGTCTATAATTTGTAGAAAATTTTCAATAGGCAACGTCATATTAATATCGGTAAATATATCCATTTTTCTTATAACTTATAGTAAACAAATACAATTTTTTTAGGTACTAACAATACTAAAATATTGTAACCTAATATTGTTACGATCTAGCAAAAAAGGCTAATGAGTAATTTAACTTAGTTTTATAAAGTAATATATCTAAGAATGTCATCAATGGCACTTTTCTTATAGTCTCTTAGTTAAGGGGAAGACACTTTCTCCTTGTGTTCTATATTATTTATTATTACTTTCACTACATTACACTATTTTTTTTAACACTACACTAACTCAAAAGGTTTAGTTCTTTTATGCCTTTAAATACTAATAAATAACTGTGAAAACTGTTGTGGTCTAGTGATGATATTGTGAGTTTGATATCCGACCGATTTATATGAAACTTATTTATTAAAGGACTTATTTCTAATAAAACTAGCGATTTACCCTCGTGCGAGTCCTTATGTATGCGAATTTTGTTCACAATGTCATGTTTTTTTACGCGGAACTCTAATTATTTTACTAAAATAAACGTAGCCTAAAATACTCCTTATAACATCAGCTATCTCCCAGTGAAGGTCTCGTCAAAATCGGTCCAGCCGTTTCGGAGATTAGCCGGAACAAACAGAGAAGACAAAAATTTTAAAAATTGTTTTTTTCTTATACATAAGTACCTACCGTATATATTTTCATTATTATTCAGTAAAACATGTTATTTAAAGCATTTTTAAAATTTGGTACTTCGTGCCGGATGTTTTCAGGGTAATGATAGAAAAGAATACTATATCGACCTAAATTGTGGCAGCAAATGCGTGTCTCTAATGTTGGAGCCCAGGATGCTGGAAATTTTGAATAGCCCCGTGTCTATCTGTGAAGCTTTGACAATCGACGAGGATAATACTAATAGTGTACAACTGTACAGGTATTCTAAAGCCAGAATTTGATTTATATAAAACTAGCAGAACACCCGGCCTCGCTCGCGTTAAAACTACAATAAAATAAGCTGTAAAATTATACATTTCATACACATTTTTATCCAAAAACGGTAAAACACCTATTTATTTAATTGCATTGAAGAGCATTAATACCAAGTTTCAAGTAATTCTGATTATAAATATTTTTTGGGTTGTATTATAATGTGTTTTCCCGTGAGAATAAGATAATTTCGCGCGGTAAAAAGTAGTCTATGTCACTCTCCAGCCCTCCCTGATCGATTTCGGACGCAGCGGCCATTTTCATTGAAAATTGCTGTTTTGAAAATTCTGTGTAGGAGATATTATAGTACAGTGAGTGTCTGTCAGTCTGTTTGTGCAAACACCAGAAACAAGTCCACTCTCTATTCCTGCCATTGTCATACTATGGTGAGAGGAGAGATTGACGTAAGAGAGGACGCTGGCACAGCAAGTAGGGTCACTACAAACTGAGCTAAACTCGTCTTCAACTGAGCCAAACTATTTCCTAATGTATATATTAATACGTGAATCAAAAACTTTGCCCTTTTTACGAAAATTGCGCGGACGGAGGAGTTTGAAATTTTCCAAACTTATAGTTTATATAGAGAAGGAGTGCAGAATGTTAATATTTTATTAAAATTATACATTAAAATACATTAAATCAATAAAACACATTACCATGTATTTGACACACACACACATACACTCTTTTATTTATTGTTAAAATCTGTGGTCAAATTGAGAATTATGTATAGTTTAATAGCTATTGCCAAGCTTTAGTTTTATAAATAAAAAATAAAAAAAACAATAATAATCATGGTCGAAGGTAGACCACTCGGCGAACACTAGTAATATTTAATGCTTGTATATTTTTTTTTCAGGAAATCCCCAGAGACGTTAATATCTCTAGTGGTAATGGATCCTCTGAGAATGTACGCCTCGAATGTTCTACGAGACAACTGTGACGTCACAGTCGCCATCAGTTCCAGAAGTAACATGAGGAAATTGGACAGAGCTTTGAGAAATATATTCCATACTAAATATCAGGTTTTTCTTGTTTCTTTTTATAACCCAGGATTAAATTAAACATTAGGATCGTTGTGTAAAAAATATATAATATACTAGCATTGCCCGCGGCTCCGCCCGCGTTCAAATGACCAAAAACCAAATTCTTAGGTTTTACAATATATTAGTATACTCTTACGTTGCAGTTTATGTATTTTTCTCAGAAACGAGACATTTTTCTGCGGTAAAAAGTATCGTATATGTGGACCCGGATAACCAACTATCACCATACCAAATTTCGTCAAAATCGATCCAATGGTTTTTTCTGTGATGCGGTAACAGACAGACAGACAGACAAAAATTTTAAAAACTATAGATTCAGTCTCTGTATCGGTAATAATGTCTATTTCAATAAGATTTTGTACAGATTCGGCTTAGTTAGAATTTTATTATATGTATAGATTATATGCAGATTAATAAAGAAAATAAATTGTTTTCTAGTTGTTAATGGATATTGAAGAGGATATAGAAATATCGCCGAGAAAGCGAGAACTGCAAAGAAATGATAACACATCTGTAAGTAAAGGCACTTCTACAATCTTTCTAATATATAAATATCTCGTGTCACGGTGTTCGTGGTCGCACTCCTCCGAAACGGCTCGACTGATTTTAATAAAAAAAAAATATATATTTGCTAGGTATGAGAATAGGTCGTAAAGTATTTTTCACTTTACGATACTTAAAAAAAGACGTATTAAAATTAATTCCTTCCTTACTCCTTCTCTGTTCAAGTCTGTCAAAGACAATAATCGTTTTGTCTCGCTCACTCTTATGCATATACCTCTATCTCTGTGCTTTTTCAATTCAATAATAATAATAAACTCTTCATTGTACACACAAAGTAGTAGGAGAATGCACAAGAGGCGACCTTATCGCTTAAACAGCAATTTCTTCCAGGCAACCTTTAGGTATAGGAAATAGCAAAACGTAATAGTATTCAGCCCTTTTTAACGTCCCACTGATGGGCTCGGTCCTCCCTTCAATACGAGGGGATCAGGCCATAGATTCCCTTCAATACGAGGGGATTCACACATGAAAATATCAAAGTTGCGAGACCCGGGATTTGAACCCGCTTCACTCGGTTACCGAAAACGAGCGCGTCACCACTGGGCTACCACTGCCTCGTGACATACAACAGAGTTATAAACTTTACATATAAAAAATGCATTAGGTATAGCTAAATAATATTTATAGTAAGTCAATTCTTATTTTCAGTAGCTGCTAGGAGTGTCATTTGGGCACAATTTAATGGTTTATCTCTTACTAGTATTGCCCGCGGCTCCGCCCGCGTTCAGATGACCAAAAACCTAATTCTTAGGTTTTATATATTAGTATACTCTTAAAATGCAGTTTTTGTATTTTTTTTCAGAAATGAGATATTTTCCCGCGGTAAAAAGTATCCTATATGTTGACCCGGATAACCAGCTACCATCATACCAAATTTCATCAAAATCTGTCCAGTGGTTTTCTCGTGATGCGGTAACAGACAGACAGACAAATATTTAATGTACAGATTCGACTTAGTTACAATTTTATTATATGTATGGATAAAGACATTTATATGTCTATTCCTGAACTAAATATCAAATGTCATACTCAGAATGTAACATTGTGGGTAGTTTTATATCGTTATGATTCGATGTTTAATGAACGTGCTCAGTGTGTCATTTTTGTTGTAGATTTAATATAGTTTCATGATCCTATTTTACCGACCAATCTCATTCTTATCTTCTCCATTGTACGTGACATTGGCGAAGTAATCTGTGCTCAACTGGCATGTTATAAAGTCATTAAGAAGAGAATTGAATTAGTTAAGTGATATAAAAACAAATTTATTGTGTAAATTTTTACATCTACTTTTGCAATAGTAATAAATAGATATTATAATGGAAAAATTAAATGAGATGTTTATTCTATAGGAAGATGATACTCGATTCTCCCATCCCATTGAAATACAACGTCGGCAACATTCAGGTATGTACTCTTATTAATATTTTATATTTTTGTTGTATGATTTTATTCAAAACTAGTTACGTTTTAATTTTTTTGAGCGGAACCCTAATTCTTTTTATAAATTAAAAGTAGCCTAAGTTACTCCTCATAACATCAGCTATCTGCCAGTGAAAGTCCCGTCAAAACAGGTCCAACCGTTTCGGATATTAGTCGGAATAAACAGACATAATTTAAAAAAATGTGATTTTCTTGTATATAATTTAATACGAATTTAGTAAAAAGCAATTATTTTGACAAACAGACACTTCAAATTAAAATAAAACTGTCTTTTCGGATTTTTCCGTGGATTTATTTTGATTTTTGGTTCTCGACGTTTCGAATGCTTTACGGCAATCATAGTCACGGGAGAGACCAGTCCCTCAATATATAATCTAACATTAAAATAAATCCGCAAAATAATCCGAAAAGATAGTTTTATTTAAAACAAAAACAAATCTATCCTTCGGGAACCGTATATTTTTCCGGGATAAAAGTAGCCTATGTGTTATTCCAGACTATAATCTATCTCTGTGCCAAATTTCATCCAGATCCGTTCAGCCGTTCTGACGTGAAAGAGTAACAAACATTCATACATACTCACAAACTTTGACATTTATAATATTAATTAATTAATACAGATAAATTCGCTTAAGTCTAAGAAAGTATTCATTCAATTTTGTTTATACCATAATCTTTATATTTATTTCCAGGATACATCGTAAGAGCTAGAAACCCAGTGTCATGGCAGTCACCCTCCACAGCATCCACTTCATCACTTGCTATGGTATTCATTAAATAAACATATATTTTTTTTGTTTAATATGTTTAAATATCTTATTTTGTAACTTAATGTTTTAGTACTACTTTTCATGGTTGTTTGGATATTTTTTTCTCAAATATGAAAAATGCTACAGAGCAGTAATAATTATCATTTTTCTAGTGATTAATCTATATCTGTATTGAAATAATCTCAATAGGTATTTGATGATGATGAATATACGTAGAGAATGGACTGAGCAATACTGTCAAGAAATTGACCACTCTCTAGAAAGAGAGAAAGCGAACGTGCGGCCAATACCTTTCCTTTACTCCAATTTGAACTTATAAATGGAATGTAAAACAGTTATATTATTATTAAAAAATTATAATATTATAATGGAATGTAAAATTGTTATACATATCTTCATTAATCGTATTTCAATTAATACAGAAGACTTCTGGCCGCACATTCGTGTTGTCTCTGTCTCACCTGTCCGCCATTTTCTGCTGACGGCTGGCAAAGAAACACTCAGTCCACTCTCTGTGTCTATGATCATAACTAAAAAAACGTATGTTTGACATTTAGCAAACGACATTACCTTTTGAGATAATAAAAAAAATAGTTTTTCATTGTAGTTTCAAATAGTACTTCTCTCTCCTAAGTACTTATGTCAATATTCAAAATTGTTAGATCACCGTGTTATATGTTATTCTTTACATTTTTCGATATCCATAATTAATATAATATTGATATCATTGTATACATTTGTTTTTTTTTTAATTCCTCTTTACTGTTATTTCGTAGTGGATAAGATAATAATTGTATCAAGAATATAGGAAAAAAGCAATAAATTATTGTGTTTCATGTTTCAGTTAAGAGAAAAACTGACAGCCTTCCCGGGTTACAGGTTCGATAAAGAACCGGTGAGTGTGTGCGCTCAGCCTCAACTGTCAAGTGTCACTGAAGTCACTGAAACCGATGGACAAAGTTTAAATACATCACAAAGCACACTGAAACTGCAACAACGATCCCACGGAGTTTGCCACAAGAAAAAAGCTAATATAGATAAAATAAGAGCCCAAAATGACAATGAAGGTCTAAATAACGAGAAAAATAAAAGGAAATTTCTTTCTCCCATTTTAAATGATAGTGAAAATTCTGTTAGTTGTCTCTTAGTGGCCACGATTGGTTCGGCAAATGATTCTGTTATAAACGATACGTTAGAAAGGTTGCCGAAAGAGAAAGATATACATACAGATAATATAGTGGATATGTTAGCGCAGGAAGCTTTGCAGTCTCATAATAAAAAGAGTGAAGTCAGTGAAGCCAGTGATATAATTGAAAATAAAGCGGTCGAAAATGCTCTTACGAATAAGGTTAAAACAAATGTGTTACAGAAGAAACAAACAATTATAAGTAATTCTACAACAGACGAGTCTAATACCGAAGTGTTTGAAGACACTCCCAATTTTATTAATTTGCGAAGAAAGCGTGCGGATAAAGTTGATAAGCGAATAGATGAAATTAATATAGAAAAGCAAACCTTTAATATACAAGCTGTTGAAGATTTTTTCTCCCAACATTTTTCTGAAAATAGAAATGGCGATTTGGTAATAAGTCCAACGCTCGCGAAGAAAATTAATGAAACAAGTTCAGAATCAAGTGAACCATTCGATTTTGATCCGATTATAAATATCGATACGGAATTCAACTTCAGTGAAGTGGAAATTGTCGAGTGTTTAAATGATATAGTTGAAAAAGTTTGTCAGGATTTCGATAAGTGTACTGAATACCTAAATAAAGATTTAAATAACTTTGGAGAAGATATAACGAAAGTTGATCTTGATATGCCATTAAATGAAGTCACTGACGGTAAAAATAAAGTAAAAAAATCTAATAATAATAAAAAAAACGTTAAGGGAAAAGATAAAAGCAAACCAGCTAAAGGAATTAATCTAAACTTCAAAAAGACTAAAGTTAGAGGCAAAAATAAATTAAATATCGAAACTTTAAAACAAATGTCGCCTATAATAGAAAGAGATAGTGTTATCGAAGATGTGGGTGTAAAAGAGATAAGTCCAGAAACTTCGTTGATAAAAAGAAAAAGAAAGTTATATTCGCCCAAAGACGATCACAAAGTGAATGAAGAAGTTGGAGTTCATATTTCTGAGACCGAGGAAGATACTATGCCATCTGCGTTTAAAGTTTACGACAAAACGCCAAAGTCTTTAGCGACGTCATATAAAGAAATAGATAGCATCCGTCGAGATTCAATACGGAAATTAAGAAACAAAAAGCCGTTGAGAGATATCTCTGTTTCACCGAGAACTAAAAAAATGAACGATCTATTCGATGATCTAAAGAAAACTAAAGATAATGAGGAGAAAATTATTCTAGCAGATAAAAAGATTCGTAATAAAAAGCTGGCTGAGTACAATTTTTCAAGCGATAGCGATGAAGAAGAATTCAAAACTAGAACAGTGACTAAAAAATCTAGTACGGCCACTATTGAAAGTGAAAAATCGAAAAGAAACCAACCTTCCCGACGCGGTAGGAGCACTAATAAAATAAAGAATTCTGATTCTATACTTGATAAAACTGAAGAACCTTTAAAGAAAAATACTAAGTCTAAAAACGTTACACAAAAATCAAAGACACCTAAACGAATACAACCTATGAGATCAAAAAAAAATATAATAGATCAGCGAATGAGAGACCCAGCACCGGAAGTGTTGAATACTTCAATGGTTATCGAAATTCCAAATATCGATATAACAGAACCAGAACCAAATATAAATAAACCGGAAATGGAAATCATAAATGATATACCGGAAAAAGATAAGAATAAAACAAAGAAAAAAAATAAAGTAGACTTATCGCTGAAGAAAAGAAATGAAACTAATATAACTATAGATTTAGATAGCGATAGAGAAACATCGAGTCCTTTGCCCGGACTAATAGTAGAAAAAGCACAGGTCCATAGAGAAGCAGATGATTCTATAACAGTTATTACGCTCGAAAACTTAAAAAATATAAGCCAAAAAATCGAAATAAACGATTTAAACACAACACAAAATCTTCTAACAGATCTAGACCAAAATAACAATAGCCCGCCAAAATTAAATGTTACCGACGAATTTAATAAAACTAATCATTCCAAAATTGAAACGCCCAAAAAAGTGAAAACAGAAAAAAGTATACTCAAAAAGCAAAATAGAGCACAAATTAGAACTATATCCGATTACAAATCGAAGATTGATACGTCAGTTATTGAATCTAATTCGGGCATTTCAATAGACACTACAGGAAAATCACCCATCACTGCTCACGGCTACGTCGACCAATCTCCGCCTAATTCTAAAGAGCTGAATAGAACAGTTGAACCCAGAAATCTAGAAATACAAGACCTAAATCAGTCTATGAAAGATTATTACGAAAAACTAACTAATGAAATAAATGATAGTTGTGACCATTCGAAAAAGAATTCCGATATGCGAAATATTTCTGTTGATTCTTCCAATTCAATGAAAATTGTTGAAAAAGAGAATTTAGCTACAAACAGAGCAGAAAATGTGCATATTTTTGCGAAGTCCCCATCTGTGTCTATTGAAAGACTTTCTCCAAAAGAAATTAATAGATGGTTACCACCGCGATTAAATTCTGTATTTGGCTCAAACCAAAGCTCGGAGAGCGAAATATCCGTACGAAAAACAAGGAGTTATTCAAAAAATAGTTATAAAAGTAAAAAATCCTCGACAAATCGGCAAGGATCTCCGCAAATGCAAACATCTTTAATATCACCCATAAAAATGTATGGGGAAGTGGGAAAAGTTAAATCAGTTTCGTCACATGGTGATGATTTCGTTGATCGCATTAAGAGTTTGATGACTCGAAAAATTTTGAAACCTCAAAATTCAAAATCTAACCACTATAGTTCTAAGAAAGCAGGCTCAAGTTCTGAAAAAAGTTGTAATGAAACTCCAAAAGAAACTATTAAAAGAAAGTCGTCACCAATACTAAGTGTGACGAAGATGAAGAAAGTCGATAGCAAAAGTAGCATCGGAAATATTACGGTCTTTGAATCAGACACCAGTTCGAGTATCCACGAATGGTTTAAGAGAAATGATCAGGACAAACAGCTTGGTAATTCCAATTTGTTTTTAATTTTGTTTATTAAATATAAGTTTTTGCCCGCGACACCGCTTTTTAGGTAGGTACGATGTTAAGAAAAAGATCATTTGAATTCAAATTTTAGCATTAGCGAGGTAGATACGTTTTAACGGTTAGTTTGGAATAGATAGTCGATCCTTTGCTCTGTGAAATACAAACACTAATCTATCCCACGGGAACCGTACATTGTTCCGGGATAAAAAGTAACTCTTGAGTTGAAAGGATCTTAGTAAAATTGAATGAATTTATTTTGCCAAATTTATCTTCAATCGAATAATATTTAAAATTGACGTGAAATAGCCTGGACGGGATTACTTCATTCCAGAGGTGGTCTTCATCTACATATCGTACAAATGTTTTTTTTTTTTATTTAAAAATTAGCAACAGCTTTTTAAATGTATTCTGCGAGTTTTTTTTGTATACACGTATAAGTACATTGTGTGCTTCATTCTCATCCAGGATGTATTCTGAGCTTCATTATAAATCTGTCGAGCTTGTAATATAAGTATAATGAAAAATTCACTAATATTGATTGCATATGTGCTCGATCACAAACAATTATTAGAAATTACTTGTAATTATGTCATTTTTTTAATTAGAAATGGGCTCACTGTTGACCTTCATCTTAGCTCGAAGGCACAGATAAGGTCTACGATCTAGCGAGTTTGCCCAGGAGAAGCCTGTTAACACGCACCTTAAATAGATTCAGGTTATACGCACTCGGAAAAACAGACGCAGGCAGGGCATTCCACTTCCATTTAGGTCAATAATGAGTTCTTTTTTGTAAGATTTTGTAGTTTTTTGCTGCTGTATTTTCCTTTTTTTTTACTGTTTATTAACATATGTATATTAGGGGAAACTTTATTGGTTTGTGTACTATCTTTTATATATTTTCTGTGATTTAAATACTGTTTGTATCCCAAATATAAATAAAAAATAAACACACAGACATTCACATTATAACATCATGTATGATTCATGTAAATTTATCTTGTTTGTTTTTGTTTGCAGAAAGTCTAGATCACTCTCTAAGGGATCACTTGGAACAGGTTATGGAAAAATTGGACACCACTTTGGTTGAAATTCACCATATGACAAGTAAAAAGTTAGTTTTATTTTTATTATAATTAATCGTTCCCTTTTATTTTATTTAAAAATTGATTTTAAAAAAATAGCATGTTGTGATAACCTATAACTAAAAGAACATTTATGAAATTGTTAGCACATGAATATCATACCGTTTTTTTAATGTATCTTTTGTTGGTTGTCCTTTAATAAATAAATAAATAATTCTAAGTATTCAGTTCCCTTCAGTACATACATTAGTTTATATTGAAGTAGATCTTGGATACTGTAGTCACTAGAAATTAATCAAAATCGTTTCTAAACAATGCCCATTCAATAATAAAAAAAATATATGAATTACATGTAATAATATATTATTGTATTTTATTTTTTAGATTTGTGAGTATGTTCGTTGATGCGCAAAAACACTTAAACGAATTGAAAGAGAACAGACGTCGCATGTACCAGGAGACGGCTAAAGAAATTATATCGGACATGGTGAAAATAATGGACAGAAAGTTTATGGAGTTGGATAAAAGGTATGCCGTGCTCATGTTAAAATTTAATCACATTCCTTTGATTTTTATTAGCGGCTTACCCTCGCTTCGCCCGAGCACGTCCGTTTAGGTACGTTTTAATTTTTTTTAACGAAACCCTAATTTTTTTTTTAAGCCTAAGCCTAAATTACTCCTTATAACATCAACTATCTGCCAGTGAAAGTGCCGTCAAAAATAGTCCAGCCGTTTCAGAGTTTAGCCGGAATATGCAGACAGACAGTCAAAAATTTAAAATAATATTTTTTTTTCTTATAAGTAAAATATATAATTTCATATGCATTTAGTGAAAAGCTGTTATTTTGACATTACAAACTTCAATTTTATTTATTAGTATGTGTGGTACCTAAATAAAATATACATAAATAAAATATTGTAAATTTTTTAGATCTCAAGAACTAGATGAGCAGTTCATAAATATTATCAAAGAAAAGGCTCGTCACCTCATCCATGAAGACTGTAAGCAGAAGCGAGTCATGGTCACGTTACTAAGGGAAGATATACAAGCTGTTGTAGATCACATACAAAATAAAACAGAGTGATAAAAATACATTTATAATATAAGTATAATATAAGCACAGTATAATAATCCATGAAGTGATCGTCCATTGATTGTTACGGAAATGCTGTTAAAGCAATTTTTTAAAAATCTATCTTTTACATTTATTTTGATTCCCGACGTTTCGAATGTAATGCGTTTAAAACATTCGAAATGTCGGCAATTCAAAAATCAAAAAAAAATCCGCGGAAAAATAGTTTTATGTATTTTAAATGTCAAATGTTCACGTAAATCTAAGGAGATGCAAGGGTTGTCAAAAAACCAGTTTTTAGTTACGAAGTTTGCACTGTAATGCCCTAAAGCTATTTCTCGACTGACATATAAAAGATTGTATGCAAGTCGGGAGCCCCTCCCTCCCCCTACTCCCCATTCCATTGCATTAGACACCTTAGAACACTTTATGGATAATTAGACTGTAAAATAAATTTTAATAGCTAATAAGTTAGAAATCGTTTATATGGCAACACTGAAGTGTAGTGTAATTTTGTGTTGCTTGGAAAATGAATTTTATTGTTTTTTTTAATGTTATTCTATTTCATAATCTTCGTGAAAGAGTGTTAAAATCTGAAGAGATTTTGATTATTTTAAATGTTATATTAAACTAAAGGCATTTAATATATTATCCCTACTGAATTAATGTTAGATGATGTATGATTATACATATACCTAAATATTATTTTATCTCATTATCTTTTAATTTGTTTAAGTACAAATTAATAATGATTGATTTTGTTCTAAGTTTAATGATGTACGCCATTGATTTAGCTGTAAATTGTTGAAATTCAATAAAACTTATTTAAATTTATTGGAATTATTTAACACATATTTATTGTAAAATTCCTTTTATTTCCTTAAAAATACATAATTAACAATACATTCATTTCAAAATGTTTTACAAAAAATAACAATATTTTCGATTTTTACCCTTAAAGATTTTTGCCCCTACCCACAATGTCAAATTGTCACATAACATAGGTACTCAAATAAGTTGACAAAATGGCTCAATATTATTCTTATTACTTATCATATAAAATAAAGTCTCCTGCCGCGTCTGTCTGTCTGTGTAAACGCGATAAACTCAAAAATTACTGAACGGATTCTATTATCACCAATGGATTAAGTGATTTACGAGGAAGGCTTAGGTGTGTGATTCATAAAGGTTTTTTTTTGTATAAATTGGCTAAAATATGACGATGATTGATGAAGATGTCGGAAAAAAATAATTTCGACAAAGCTTTATTGGCGTGCGCCGCGTGAACTAATAAAAGTATATGAAAATACTAGCAGAACCCGCGCTAAAACTACAAAGAAAACTCGTTCACACGGCATTGTCCTACACGATTTTTTTGTATTCGATTTTAAACGTACAATCACGGTAGATGAATATCCGCAGTTTTCAAACGTTGTCATAGTGAGTAGACGTCAGTGATGGATCCACGCTTGGTTGTTCTTTCATATCGAAGGTTGATATCAACGGTTGCTATTCGTTAAAAACGTATGGCGTCGTGCGGTGTGAAAGAGACAGAGCTAAACTATGCGCCACTGCAAGCTAAGGAACTTTCGCAGGTGTATTAACGCATAGAAGACAAAAATACGAACAATCATTTTTATATATACACACACACACACACGTATATAATATCGTTACAGCGTATAGAAGGAATAAACACACATACATTGGTGGCGAGTCATTAGTAACTAATAAAAAGAGAACACGCCCGCCATTTTCAACTTATTTGAATACAACTATACAATAGATATCACTTCACATACATATTTACATAGTGTTTTGTGTCTGTTTACTTAATCACTTTCATACTAGGTCTCTTCCTGCGGCGTCACTTGTGCTAGGAATATTTGGTGCGGTTGGTGTGGCGTTTGAGATGGAACCTGTAATATAAAAAATATTATTTATTGCACATCTTACACCATACACGACTATAATAATTAATTATTTTCTATACTAATATTATAAAGAGTTTGTTTGTTTGAACGCGATAATCTCAGGAAATACTAATCCGATTTGAAGAAATCTTTTTGCATTAGATAGCCCGCTTATTGAGGAAGGCATCCCGGAAAAATGTACCGTTCCCGTGGGATAGATTTGTTTAGTCTAGGGACGAATCGGAAGCGAGGGTGAGTCGCTAGTTATAAATAAAAAAAGTAATATCAAGTTCAAAGAGTAGGGCTAAAAATGTTAATTAAAAAAAAGGCCAGCCTTGAGGTAAAATATGTTCAAAAACAAGTGATTTTCCTGGAAGTAAATTGGACCATATATAACAGTACGTAAGGTACATTTTTGCTTACTTTAATTATACTTATGAATGTGTCCAAAAAAAAAAACGATTTACAACACAGTATGGTACAGTTTGCAATGGCTTTGTACAAGACATTGTAAGGTGTACGTGGTGCATATGGCACTACGACATAAGCTACACTTTTATTTTTTCAACTTTTCTTTTGAGCATCTCTGTAAAAACTACCTATATTTTTTTTATTCTATTAGCAACTACCCTCTCTTCACTCGAGTGTAAGTCTCTAGGCACCTCAAGGTAGCGAATAAAGGAACTAAAATGCCATTTTGCTGACTTCAATTAAATTTATGATGATTACATATAGTAAACATATCGGATCAAAATAAATTATAGCCTTTTAGCAAATCAAACAAGTGGTTATATACTAACATGTATGATCTGCGGCTGCGGCGACTGCTGCTGGGGCTGCGCTTGGATCACTATCGGCTGGTTGGGGTTGTTCTGTAACTGCAGCCGGATCATGTTCAGTTGCGCTTGCGTCAGCTGGATCTGGTGGTGAGGATTGTCTGTTATACAACTGTCAAAATGCTGTCGTCATAAAAAAGAAGGCCGCAACTTCGTCAAAGTTGATTTCGACATATTTGAAGTTTTGTCTTGATACTTAGTAGTACTTTAGTAGGCTCCGTCAATAGTATGGATTGTTCCTATAATGCAATCTATATTGTTGTCAAATTATATCAAAATCTGTACAAGAGTTTAAATCTTAAAAAAAAACAAACAAACAAAAAAATTTACTTTCACAATCATAATATACTAGTATAGACTATAGATTATTAATTATTAAATTAACTCCAAAATTTTGAACTCTTTAAATATTTAGCTTTCAACTTTTTAAACAAACACACACTATACTATATTTCCTAGTAGTACTAGTTGCACCCAACATACTGAGCTCCATTGCTTGCTTTGCTGACATTTTTTCTAGTTTCGCCCTATATATTTTTTGTCAGGATCATGTTAGACATGGCGGGATTATTTATTTATTTACTAGTTGCTAGTCTCTGACTGACATCAGCAAGTAGAACATTGTCACCATTACTCACAGGCACAGGCTGGACATCACCGGAGGACGTGACCACTTGCTGCACCAGTGTGACGGGCTGCTGGCTGGCAGTGGTTGTTGCCGCTGCACTTGATGATTGCTGAAACCAATAATAATATTATCCAATAACTTAACCCAACTTCGCTCGGATATCTAAGGTATGGCACATACATATAACGTTGCTATAGAATAATAGATCTTTTTAAGAGGAATTATTTTGTAGTACATTGTTTTCATATAACTCTACTGGTTTATGCGCCCTGCGCACGCCAATATAGTTCACAGTCGGCATGATTTTCTCCGACATCTTCAACCATCATCGTAATAATTCAGCCAATTTACAAAAAACCCTTAATGAATTCCTCATGAATCACTCCGTCCATTGGTGAAAACCGTATGAAAACTCATTCGGTAGTTTTTGAGTTTATTGCGTTCAGACTGACAGACGGAGAGACGCCACGGATGGGCTTTATTTTAGTGATTAGTATACAAAAAATACGTTCATATGTTGGTTTAATATTACGTGAAACTAGTACAAACCAACACCACAGTTATTATTATTAGCAACAGAAGTGTCACCAGGAAGAAAGAAAAATTAGCGGACGGCAGACTTCACATGTCTTTCGAAAACTTGCTAGATTGTCTCGGACATGCAGATTTCCTCACGATGTTTTCTTTCACCGTAATAAGACAAATGGCAAGCCTCTTAAAAATGATTCACACATGAAAGTATCAAAGATGTGAGAACTGGGAGTTGAACCCGCTTCACTCTGTTTCCCAAGCTTTTCTATGGTATTATATTACTAAATACATATATATTCTATATTACCTGTACAACTTGAGCGCAGGGCTGAAGCACGAATTGGGGCTGATTTGATAAAGTAGTCTGGTGTTGTGATACCTGAAACAAAATTTATTTTAATTTTAATTTATTAAACCACAATATTTTAAATGTAAAAGATTGTTTATTTGTTACTTCTTCTTCTTTCTACTTTTTACTTCTTCTTCTCACTGCAATAGCTTGACAAATTTGATTGAAATTCGAAATGAAAAAACTATTTAGTTTATGCACCCGATTAATATATGTGCTATTTTTTCGAGGGAATAAAACTAGTTAAATACAAAGATGGACTTAGGCACCTTGGGATGCGCTCGAGCAAAACGAGGTTAAGTTGGTTGTATAGTACTTATATCTCCAGTTTCCACATGATTATGTAACAAACATACGAATCCCATAATATAAATATTATAAATGCGAAAGTTTGGATGTATGGATATTTGTAACTCAATCACGCCAAAACGGATGAACGGATCTGGATGAAATTTGGCACAGAGATAGATTAGTCTGGAATATCACATACGTTACTTTTAATCCTGGAAAACGGACGGTTCCCGTGGGATAGATTTGTTTTTGTTTTTCACAGAGCAAGGGATCTACTATATATTCCATACTAACCGTTAAATGAACCAGGGATAAACCCGAGCGAAGTGATGGTGAGTCGCTAGTATCTTTCTAAAATTATCATTAATTTTAATATTAATAAATAACAGGGTATGAAATTATCAAGATAAATATATCTTTTGATAATTATCGCGATAATTATCAAGATAATGATCAGATAATTATCCGATAATTATCAAACAGATATAAACTTTGTAATCCTTGTGTAGGTATTGGTATTTGACTACTTTCCTATCATAATTTACGTTAGAATAAATTATACATTTTTAACTATCAAGGTAATATTTTAGTATTATTATTTTTTTATTTTTTTGACAGATACAAACTATGAAATATAAACAGAATAAAAACCAATTATTTAGTTAAATTAAAGGTCTCTGCCCACTATACCGTCTCATACCATGACCGCGCTAAGACCATAACAGGACCGTGTCAGACAAAAAAATATTCTTTCTATTAAAAAGTATGAGACTATGCCCACTAGACCGTTCCGTCACCAACCAACACCGTCGCGTGCCGTGCATGGAAAGTTACCAATAATTGTCGCCAAGAATATTTTGCCGGCGCCGATACGCTCCGTGCCTGGCACGCGACGTTGCCAAATCGGTGCGCGCGGACGGCTAAATGGTGAGCACACGTTTTATAACTGCGTATGATGAACGTTCTAAGCCCGTTATAAACGTGTTGTCGCTTGTCTTCTAGTGATGATATTTTCTTTTAAATTATAATTACTTTTTTTAAAACGGCGTGAATCTAGTAACGTCGTGATCGACTGATGTTATTCTCTTTCTTCCTCGTCTAAAACAATGGCCATCATTGTTAATTTTCTGTCGGACAAGTTTCTAAAAGCCATCATATAGGTATAGGAATAAATTTTCGTAACTAAAATATTTATTCGCTCTTCCTGCCGCGGCTGCCTCACGCGAAAACACAGGTGAACTACGACTGAGAGAACGGGAACTATACGGATATGACACGCGGATGATACGCGGTTGATACGCTCTAGTGGGCATAGTAGTCCGTGTCACTTGTTTCCGTGCCTGATACGTTCATCGCACGGTCATGGTATGAGACGGTGTAGTGGACAGACTCCTTAACGAGTGGAATATCATCCTCATCTGCATTAACTCAGTTTGCTGATTGAGTCTTTTGAGCTGATTGAGAGAGTTCAGTTAGCTGATCGATAATTTGAAGAGTTACAAATTAAATATTTTCAATTATATTTATCAAAGATAATTATCAACCCATATTTATCATGATAATTATCAAAGATAATTATCAATGATAATTATCGTTTCAAACCCTGATAAATAATAGGTCATCTCACCTGTTCAGTAGATGGGGTGGGTCTGGGCGGCTCTTCCCTGGGCTTGCTTGGCTTCACCTCGTGTCGAGGCACTATATCTATAAGGAAGTCGAACTGATCCGATTTGGATATCGCCATGGCAATGTCGTTACGCTGAAATTAAATATTACAAAACTGAAACATTTAGTTCTCAGATAAGTAAAAAGCTAAGTCTTTACCAATTATTTTCTAATTAGATGTAAGTTTACAATACACTAGTACTATTCAAAATATAACCCACTAGTCTAGGGGTCGCTTCCCATATATTAAACAATTGCCATGGCATGTAAGAGTGGCTAAATTCAATCCCGAGTTGGGGCTGATTAATAACTGAGATTTTCTATCACAAAATTCTTAGTTATTCGCTAGGGCAGATGCTTGGAGTTCAGAAGTTAACATGGTTTAGACCCGATGACCTTTAGATAAGCATATTATCAGTTCTGTGTTTACTCAATTGACACAAATATTGTAATGGAAATGATAAATAAATATATATGTAATGGAGTAGGAAAATATGTTTATTACTTTTTCTTATTATGAGTTTATTTGTTTGTTTGAAAGCACTAATCTCAGGAACTACTAATACAATTTGAAAAATTCTTTTTACATTAGATAGCCACAATATTGAGGAAGGCTAAAGGCTATATATCATTATACTAGTAGGAGCAATAACCATAAATGTCAACAAATCAAGCAGACTACATTGTTGTTATACTATATCTATATTATATGATTAGAGTCACTGTATAACATAAAGTCAAAGAACTTTTTTATATATTGAACGCGGGCGAAGCCGAAGGCGGGTTCTGCTAATTTATAATGGAACTTACTTGCAAAGTCCGTCTCTTATTATCTTCTGTATGCGACCAGGCTCTTAAAGTTAACTCATGAATGAATATCTCAGCGGCCTTCGCAAAAAGCACTGGTGCTTCAGCTGATATCATTTTTACTTCCTCGTCTAATTTCATTATTTTCTTAATCCGGGCTAAAGGTAGAACTTGAGTTTTAAAATCTTCCTGAAATTTAAATGCATACTATATTAATAATATAAAGCTTTAGCAAAAAGTAATGTTATTTGAAAGGATATACCTTATTTTTTCTTATTATTTTTCTGTTGTTGGGTTATATTTTTTCATAGGATCCTAAGAGACAAAGTTTTAGCAAAAAGAAAAAAAATAGAAAAAAAAAGAGAAACAAACCCCATTAATTTTTTTCATATCCTCATTGACTTTCACCCAAAAGGAATTTAATGTGGTATGAATATTATCCACTCTCTCTTCCACACATCGTGTAATCTCTTCCACACACTCTCCATCGTGTTCATCAGAAGCTGCTGAAGTTCCAGCTTGATCTCTATGAGAGTAATTAAAATTTACTATTAAAAAGTATTAATACTTATTCATATGCTAGTACAGCTAACAATAATGAAAACAAAATATGTTTACACTGAGAGTTATGGACACAAACAAGGTACGAGGATTTGAATCCATGTCCATGGGCCATGGAATAAGAACTCTTCTATGTAGTAAAAATTAAGAACTTAACAAAATTTATTTTTATAAATATGCATTTAGATACAGGTGTAAACTAGCAGTATGCCAAATATCTTTGACTAATAGTAAGGTTTAGGAGAAAAAGTTGTGATATTATTTATTATTTAAATAAGCCGATAAGAATATTGCGACTGTGTTATTGCGACTAACTTCTCGTAGCAGGACACGCGTCACTAATAGTGTTTGGATATATATTACGTAAATAAGGATACTAGACATTAGAATTTGATATGATTAGGTTTAAGAGATACTAGAGAAAGATTTTGTACATGCGAATGTTATTATAAAATTAAATAAGGATAGTGAATGATAACTTACGCTTGCACAAAGAAGCACACGGACATTTTGTCTTTGAGGAGACGACCGCGCGACCGGAATTAAACCCTCCCTTTAATTATTTTCATCCAAATATCTAAATATTGTTTAGGATTGCAAATGAAAACATTAGCCGCGGCCAAAGTTATTAAAAACAGAGTAACCAATAATCAGTGTAATATTCGGAGATCTCCAATCACCAATTACTGAAAATGCGCCACTTCCACGATTCGTCCACCGATGACCAGTCACAAGCTTGACGTATACTCTGTGTTGCTGTATTTCTCCTGAACTATTTACTCCAGGTTTAATTTGTTAATAAATTAATATGATACAAATATTTAAAAAATAATAAATATTTTAAGCCTGTTCATTTGTGTGAGTTTAATATATTTATAATGTATGATATTAAGGCTAAAAAAATATTTACAGTTAGGGAGAATTTAGGAGAAAAATTTATAGATATCTAATATATGTAGCAACATTAGCAGGAAATGGAATTAAATGTCATCGACGTCATCGATCGGCGTCCCACTATAAAATGGCGGCCGCGGAGATACAAGTTGTAAATCCATCAAATTTAGCAAAAATAGAAAGGTTTGAACTTAAAAATTGAAATAATTGTAAAATATATTTTCCTATTAGTACAAAGTTTAATAAATGCAATATGTATAAGTTCTTATTAGTTAAGTGCAATGTTGTGTTAGTGATGTTTTCAACGCATTTTGTTTCCAGTTTCCTCAATGATCCCAGTTATAAGGAAATTATTGAGAACTCGTCTACATTTAACTCGCGACTATGTGCGGAAAGAAGAATGCGAATGCCCTTCATCGACACACAGACCGGTCAGTACTAACATTTAACATTAATTTATCTTTAACAACTAAAACTATATAGTGTTTAATTTAAAGATCAGCTTAATATCTGCTTTTTAAAAATGAATTTAACTTTTTATTAATATTTTTTTTATAAATTTGACAGTAATGTATATATTTTTTCAAGAAATAGTAATATTGTAAATCTTTATGCCAATAAAGGAAAAAATATATATTGTAAATAAACAACTTTTGTTTTTCTTTTTACTAAAGGTGTTGCACAGAGTCATTCCAATTTATTCATGACCAGAAAACAGAGAATGCCAGGTGCAAGAGAAGGTCAGGTGTACACATATCCTTCACAAAGGTATATATCCTAAGTAGTACTTCTAAAAGTTACTTTTAATTTCTATGTTAAAAATCTTGTAAAAATAATTTTGGTTCTAGTTATTATGAATTGAATGCAAAATGTTTTAGAGAATAGGTTTAAACAATTTATCAATTATTTATGCTAAAACAAACAAATGGACATGTTTACTTAATCCTTTCTGTATGCTAGTTTAGCATTAGAATTAAACAGTAACAATATCATTGTAAATGTCTTATATGCTACTTATTTGCCATTTCAGATGGCGCAAAGCCCGTCGTCAATACTTAACAATGTCATCAACAAGATGGGGTTGGAGTGCGGCTGATGCAACAGACAACATAGGTGAAGGAGAGAACAGTTCTGGAGTGCCAGACGGTCTTGTTGGTGAAGACAGCAGGGATGGTTCTCAAAGTGCGGCTAAGGATGATCCTAAGGTAAATGATTCTATGGGATTTTAGAGTTAGCATAATGTAAGAGTGTTATATTATTAATTTAACTGATATATACAAAAAATGTGATTCCAACCTACAAGTGTTATTTTGGATTTTTTTGAAGTTGATAATGTTTAATTTTCTTTTAGTAATATTTTTATAATAGAGTGCTAAGTGTGAGTTGTGTGTATGAAAACAGTACTAAAAAATGTATGATATATAACTTTTGGTATTATAGTAATATGAGCTACCTATCTTTTAATTCACTTCAATTTTTTATGAATGAACCTCACCCTTGCTTCGCTCAGATTCGCATCTAGAAAACAAATTTCAAATCTATGCCCCGGGAACTTTTCCAGGATAAAAACTAGCCTATGTGCTATTTCAGACTATAATCTATTTCTGTGCCAAATTTCATCCAGATCTGTTTAGCCATTCTGGTGTGATTGAGTAACAAACATCCATCCAAACATCTAAACTTTCACATTGATAATATTAGTAAGATGAACAATGTTAGTATATTGGTAACATATTATTTTAAAACAAAAGAAGATGAAACATTGAAATCTGCTAACTATTCCAGGAATGGTTCTACGATGAGCTTGCAATGGAAGAAATGGAAACCGGTGAGGAACCAGATCCTGAATCAGATGAGGATTACTATGATGATACATATGCTAATCGACGTAAGAGACGGGGTGCAGCTCCAACTGGACCAGGATCTAGAGGTGGAAGGACGAGGAAGTCGCAGCCTGATGATACACCTGTTAAGAGAGGAAGGGCAGTAAGTGGCAATATTATGTAGAATAGAGCAAGTAAACCAATCAATTCTTAATACATAGCAAAAATAATATACAGTAGAATCCCCTTAAAATGAATGAATGGATTCCACTGCATATGAAATTTAATATGTATGTTGCTAGTTTGAATGCTTTGCTTAACACAGATTTAATTAAATGCATGCAACACAGATTTAAATCAATAAAATTAAAATAAGTTTGTACAGGTAATTTTAATTTGCATTTTTATTTCGTTTTTTAAAAAAAGAAAATTTTCTGAGGTTATCAAATAAAACTTATTTAAAAAAAAAATGCTTAATGTGGGTGAAGGTTCTTATTTTGTGTATGTTACAAGATATCTTCCAATATTATTGAACCTATTTTTATTTTTTTTAAGAAAGGTTATTTCAAGGGGTTTAAATTGATGTTGAAATGAATATCTTTTTATTAAAAAGAATGGGTGAGTGTAAGTTTTACATGCGGTTGAAGTAAAACTTCTTTGGCAAATATCACAAGTAAATTAAAACAAATCAATAATTATGTAAGGCATATTAGGCATATTACAATCTATAGAAAGAATATAATATTACTAGCATTGCCCGCGGCTCCGCCCGCGTTCAGACAATAATCAAATTCTTAGGTTTTACATATATACGTTTTATGTATACTCTTACATTGCAGTTTTGTATTTTTTCTCAGAAATGAGATATTTTCCCGCGGTAAAAAGTATCCTATAGGTTGACCCGGATAACCAGCTACCACCATACCAAATTTCATCAAAATCCCTCCAGTGGGTTTTCTGTGATGCACTAACAGACATACAGACAAAAATTCTAAAAACTATAGATTCGACCTCTGTATCGATAATAATGTTTACTTCAATAAGATTTTCCAAAAAAATATTTAATGTACAGATTCGGCTTAGTTACAATTTATTATATATATAGATATATTTGTCAGACAAAAACAACGGTTACCATGACAACATGGCAAAATATTCTATCTCATTCTCTTACGGGCTTTATGTCTTTGTCTCTTTCTCTTGTCGCATTTCTGTCTAATCCGGTTTCAAATAACAATTATTCTAAAGAAGTTTCACTTCAGAAAAATATTTATATCTTCCAAAATATCTAAATACTGTCAGTCATTTTGACAATTTTTTAATAGTACATATATACACGTTACAGGGTCGTGGTCGCAAACGAGCCGGACAAGGTACGCTCTTACCTTACGAAGTGCCTGGTGATAGTGAAAAGCCATTTGGATGTGAACGTAAGTCCAGAAGGCGACACACTTAAACATACACCACAATATATTATCTATTATCCATATGTCATATGGACATGCTTTATATTCTGTTTCTAAACTAATTTTTATCTGTGATTTATATATTTTTTTTATAAATAATCTGGAACAGCCTAAAAGATGATAGTAGCAAAAACATTATGTAGATATGAAAGAGGAGGTGTCTTTATGTATAAATATTATTTTTATATCATACATGTAATTTAAAAATTATTTTTATTTAAAGTTATATGTGTTTATTTATATAAAACTAGCGACTTACCATCGCTTCGCTTGGGTGTGTCCCTGGATGTTTTTTTTGAGCGGAACCCTAATTCATTTTCTAAAATAAAAGTAGCCTTAGTTACTCCTTATAAAATCAGCTATCTGCCAGTGAAAGGCCCGTCAAAATTGGTCGGTCCAGCCATTTCGAATATTAGCCGGAACAAACATACAACAAATTTAAAAATCGTGTTATTCTGATAAGTATATATTTTCATATTATGTATTAAGTAAAAAGCTGTCATTTTAACTTTAGAAACAGACTCTTTAATTTTATTCATCTGTATAGATTAATGACATAAAGCATGTCCACGTGTTTATATTGTATTTTGTGACAGAGATGGTAAACCAAAAAAATATTGGAAGGTATGATGATAGCAATTTAATTCTCATTAATATGCAAAATTAGAGCAAATAAATTTATTAGGATTTTTTAATATTGGTTGAAAGGTTAGCTGTCTCTGCTGTATGCTTTAAGTAATAGATATACACTAAAGAAAGCTCAGTTATAGTTGAACTCAAACTCAGACTGTATGTCTGTTTGAGTTTGAGTTGTCTCAATCAAGTTGAGTTGGCGACTCGCAAGGTCACACATTCGATTCCGCCGTGGGTGTTAGCACTCAATAAAAGCTTTTGGTTTAGAAAATGCCTTGAGATATTTAATTTAAAATATATGTAGACATAGGTTGAGTTATTGCAATATAAAAAATCACTTATAATAAAATCATGCTTTCATAAAACTTTGGAAAGTACATAATCAATTGGTTTCAACAAATAATTTTAAATAATACGTATATAATACAAATTGTAATAGAGTCAAAGTTGTGAATTAAACAAATATTTAGCATAATTTCAAACACTTTCAGAAATAATACAAGCAAAATTAACAATTAATCTAATTTTTCTCAACTTGATTGTTTTGTGGTGCAATGTCTATAAAATGCACATCATTGCTATTTTCCAAGTCCATAACAATAATACAGCTTGTGCTGTTAATATTACTTAGTCCTTTATAAAGTGGGGGTGATGGTTTTTGGCTATGGACTATGGAAACTCACTGGCAAAAATTTAATTTCATGTATTGTCCACTAATAGATTGGGTTAAAATTTTAAATGTCGGATTAGTTTTCTTTTTTTTAATTATTTTTAATATTAAATGGGATTTCTTTTTAGTCGGAAGAAAGTAATCTTATCACAATCTTATATTTTTGGTATAGAAACAATGAATTTACAGATTACTATAATCAACAATTTTATTCATAAAGTGAATAAATAGCATGGAGAATGTTTATTTTTTTAAATAAATGTAAAATATATTTTCAAATGGATATACCTAAACAGCCAAAGCTCGAGTTCACCAAATAAGTAGATATCAAGTAAGTTGTCTAACACGTTAGTGACAATCCTGAAAATAATTTGATCCTCCATCATTTGATCTCCATTTTATATTTTGAACTACATATTACCTTTTTGTTTATTATGATCATACTTGAGTTACTTACATTATTTTGATTTTCAACTATTATACTATAGTAGTTATTTTCAACTATTATATTATAGTAGTTAGGGCTGTATTTTTCGCCTTTTTTCATCGGTGCCTAAAAATCTTATTCGGTATATATGAAGCTTATTTATACTTTTATAAAATAAAAATTTGAATACTTCCAAAATCTTCCATATTCCATGTTTTTCCATCGCTCATAATACTAATGTTGCCAAAAGGTAAAAAAGTCAACGAAATGTGTTTTATAAGTAAAAATATCAATTACAATAATCAAGGTACCACTAATTATACTCGGCGCGGCGAACCTTGATCCCTATGACACCGACAGCTAATGTCACCATTTAACATTGTAGTGGTGTCACCATTAAATTGGGATCATATTGGGGCGTCTAAAAATGCCATTTATAAATTTTACGTAGCTTTATACCATTAGTAATGATATTCCGTTGATATTTTTAACAATTCTTAACATTTACAAGAAGTTATCTCAATCTGAATTTATGTTTACGTCCTGCAAAACTTACGTCGTGTGACGTTTATCGACTAGGGCGGAAAGTGTCGATAAAAAAATGTCGGTAATGGAAACGAAATCACATTTTTTTTTCATACTCACATTTTAGTTCATATATTATGGAATGGAACAGAATATTACGATCATACCATTCATACATACACACATGATTATATTATACCCAAGAAAATTAAAAAATAACAGCTATAGGACAAAATGAAATGAAACAAAATCTGTTTAACAATTATTTATTTACATACACAGGGTCAAGGGTGTAACAAAAGTAAGTGATAATACTTTAGTATAAGTGATAATACTTTTGTGTTCCTTATATAGTTTACAGTGAAAGTACTCAGCGCTGAAAGCGAAAAATTTTTTTTTGTGATTTGTATGGGCAAGCGCCACATGAGCTTCCCCATGCAAATCACAAAAAAATTGTTTTACTTTTAGCGCTGCTACTTTGCCAGTGAACTCTATATAAGGGACACTACACACCCTAAAGTATTATCACTTACTTTTGTTACACTCTGTATTTTATTCTGAATCTGATAATGACATGAGTGTTTGCGTCTCAGACTCGGAATCTGAACTGCAACTGCCTGTCACCTACATTTATCAATAATGGTTGATCTTCAAGAGTGTCGTATCGCACATCTCGATCCCAATCATCGTAGCAAAGTTTGCACCCCTGAACATATTCCAAAAAAAATATACCAGGTCTAATACATTGCAAAAAAAACTCCCCGGCGCTTGGGCTAATACAACAACAACATAATGGACATTAAAAATGCACATTATAATATTTTTTAAAACATGTTTACCAACGTGGCTGAATGCAAGCCACGCCTTTGTCTAAAAAAAAAATTATCGACACGACCAAAGACACGACCCATCACTAACACGAACTGTCATAGGGATCAAGGTTCGCCGCGCCGAGTATATGAGGGAATTTTCTTCCATATCCTAACTCCGTTTAAATGGCAACTCTATAAAAAATATATATAGTCTATGGCATTAGTATCATAGAGAATTATAGATAAAACCACACATTTAAATAGAAACATTGCTCAATTTTACATTGTAACAATAACAATATAAATTAGTTTTTCTTTTCATATACGCGTCGTATTAAAGATGAACATAATATATTGCATATGCAGTGTAACAGGGCCTTAGATTGACGTACTTGTAAAAATGCCTTAGTATATAATATTGAAATAAGCAATTAATGATTTGAGAGGTGGTGAACGATTGTCGTTTTAGTATATAGGTTTAGATTTTTCTAAAATGTCACTAATAACTTAAATATTTCTATTTGAAATTCTTTAGTACATTTACTGATTTCAAACTAACTCAGTTTTTTATTTGTCTGTGGCGTTAGAATGGATGTATCGTTTTTGATTTAGTTGTTTTAAAGTTAAAAGTTTAAAGTTGCATTTAATGAATACTCTTTCAGCCATTCCAGAATATAAATATATTTTTTTTTCATTAGTTTTTCTATTTCAGTCATCATTTAAGAAAAATTTAAACATATAGTAATGACATATATTTCTGTTAATCTCTCACAACCTCTTAAATTAAATATACAGTAGTTTGGATAGAACAGATTAGACTAGAAATTGAGCAAAATCGATTATTATGATGACAGGAGAGTTATTATTGGATTTTTTTTTCATTGTCAATATTTGGTTATCATAGAAAATGAAAGGAATTTTTTAAATGACTATTTATTAAGATTACAATATAACATATAGTGTCTTAATTATGCTAGTGTGTGGTTAATAGAGAGCAGAAAAAGAGAAATAGTATATTCTCTTTCTCTTATCCTGTGAGAGAAGAAGTGTAAGAGATGCTTCGTATTAGTAAATCTTGATACTTTGAAGTATATCTAAGAATCCAAATTAACTGTACATTAGTTTGATTGGTTGCAGTTAGTTTACTGGCTTAGGAAACTTCTAAGATGACCAAATAACTGACAAGATTTTTAAATTATCTCCTTTCTCCCCATTAAGAAATTTGCCAAACTTTATACTTCTTTACTAAAAATATTGATAAAATAACGCCAGTACTCTTCACTACTTTAATTATAATAGGTTCGTTAGATTTATAATTTTGCCTTCTATTGAAGTAAACGATTCTATTTGCGTCCTTGCTCTTAAACCAGTTCAATTCATTGATATACAAAAACTCAAGATACACAATTAATGTATCAAAAATATTCTCAAAAAGAGGCGCACAATTCGAAATTGTGCGCGTTTTTAAATATCTTTTGTTCATTGCTTTTCGGATGACAAAATTAAAACCCACGTTGTTTCGTTTAAAAAAGTACTTTTTGTGGTGTGCGTAAGTTCGAATTTGTGTTTAGACATTTAGAGCTTTCGGTTTTTGAATTTTATTCTTTGGTTTAACTTAACGTCACATGGCGACGCCACTTTTAGAAGAGATATTTGTGAGGAAATGTGTATCTATGTTTTTATATATCAATAATGGTTTAATTGTATGCAAAAGGCATGATCGCATATACTGTCAAATAAGTCTATAATTGAATGGACTAATTTATAACACCTAGGCTTGTTTGTAAAAGTTAATGCAAGCTGTGCCGGACCAATTTCATCTTTATTGCCCTTATAGATTATAAAAAATTGGGTCGGTATTATACTGAAATATATTTGTAGTACAAGTCACGAGAATGCGTAAATACACGTCTGTCATATATTTTTAAATTGCCATTCATATTATCTATATTCTACAACCAACCAACAAAACAAAAAGTAGTAGATACATAATCCCATGCAAAAATTGTCTTAAAACTATGTATAATCAATTGTGTTTAGGTAATTATTCTAGTTGAAATAAATATAGAACAATGTAAATTGAACCTTAAATGCAATGCTTAAAGTTGTTTTGTTCATGTTCAAATGTTCAAATGAGCGCTCATTAGCTGGGGACATTTTTTGTCGCTGATTGTGTATCTAGTATTTTTTTTATCGGTGTGATTCCTGATAAAACGAGATGCTTACCATCATTTTGACTTATGAGTTTATGATATTTCACCATGCTTAAAAGCACCATGGTCAAGGTTATACGCAGTGGTTTCCTTTATTAGTAAGTGAAAACCATGGAAAATATCATGTTTTATGAAAACTTCATATTATATATCTATGGTGTTTAAAAAGATATGGTGTCAAGGCTGGTATTTGTGCATTCTATAAGCAAGTATAGAAATATGCCTTTTAACGTTATGTATGTTTGTATGAGAATTATTAGTGGATAAGCGAATCTCAAGGAATTCTGAAGGCGGTCGTTTGTCTAGAAGACGTTATTATATATGTAAAGTTTTTTTTTTTTGGTGGAGTATAAAAAAAAACAAAAAATAAATCACAAATGCTATTTTAATAACATTCAGAAACAATTTACAAAAACATTAATGACAATTGATATAAATCAACAAAAAAAATTATAAATATTTAAATAAATTTTACGAAAATAACATCTTATTGTTACATATTATATGTACATAGTGACGTCTTCTAGTGTGAGAATTAGCCTTCGTTTTGTAACCGTAAAACCTATACAATCGTAATTTTTCTAGGCAGTTAGGCGTTTGATCTTTATACCCTAAAAACCTATATCCTAAAGTAGTTTTGTAAATTTTTTTGAATGAGTTATCAGAAGGATCATTGATATAAATATGGATTGTATGGTATGGCAAACTTTTTGCATTTAAATAGACGTTTAGGGCAATGTTTTAGTATAGTTTTAGCGTCACAGTTTATCCTAGATAAGTAATCAATTTAATAATGTTTTAGAATTCGACTTAGTTTAATAATTTTCACCGTTTACAATCTAAACTTTTTGATCCGACTTCTATATCCTATAACATTATGATTTTAAATGTTTACATTTTCGTACCCTTTTTAAGATCTTCTCTTGCGAAGTGCTACTTGGCAATGTCGATTGTCAATTACGAAAGTTCAAAATTGTCTGTAACTATTATAGCATAAGACGAAGGGACGAAAGGGAGTTGAACACCAAATAAATGTTATAAAGAGATATACACACTGCCACAAATTTACCGCTGGTACGATATCGTAGGGTAGGATTTGTTATGAATTATTTCATAGGTTAGATATGCCTTATTGTTTTGACGGTGTTCGTTTTGTAATGAGACAATGTCATGGCAATATACAAAATAAAAAAATATATATCTAAAAATTGTATTTGGTGGTATTTTTTTAATGTGCAAATTGACTATTTTTTTCTTTTTTTTAGGATTTGATTTGATTTTAAATCATGTTGTCTTGTTGCAAAATTTGATGCCGTTTATCTTAAACTTAGTTATGATTTGAGATATGAATGACTGCGATGGGAAAAATTAACTTCACATAAGGCTGATTTGGGCATTATTTTGATGTAGATCTGTGAATATGTTGGGAGTTTTATTTTATAACCTGTTCAGATATAATAGAACTGTGTGAAGTTTGGTTTTCTTGAACGTTATTCGTAGCTCGATTTCAATACATTCTAATCCTAAAACGTCTTATGAATTAATCACAATTATTAATCACAATATTCATCTTTTAGCACTGATCGATTTCGTATGTATATGACTCATGTGTCTGTGATAGTTCTATTTATTTCATTTTTCGTGTTAAGATCTAGGAATTGATTAATTTTCGGCAATGACTAAAGTTTTGCGGACGGTGGGACCTGTGCTTTAAAAATTATGTGTAAAAATTCTTCAAAAATGGTCATGTTGAGTGTTGTTTGTTTTAATATTAGCTATAGAGGTGCCAATGTGTAGAATTAACATTATTTATAATATCTGTGACGTTGGCTTTGAAGTTGATTTTCCCGCCAATTTTACTGTCATAGTTTTGACCAATTGATGAATTTTAAGAAATTTTCCATCATGACGTACAATTTGAAGTATTTTTACACAAATTTGGGATTATTCGATGCGTTGGAAAAAAAGTTAGGCATATTGAAATTATTGTCTGGTTATTGAAATTGTTTAGTCTTCCATTTTGAATGTTAAACAGAAGGGCGATGTATGTACATATCTAAAATGTTTCGGAAATGTCAGCGCACAGGTTGCCAGAATGAAAATAAATTGGTTGTGTGAAGAATACAGTATTTACTCGCATTTGACAGTTGCTGAAGGAATAATTTTTTTTTGACACTTCGTCGGTGTTTCGGTAAGCTTTTTCGATTAACATTCAATTTACACAAGATACATTCGACGCAAAAAATTATTCTGTTATGACTTAAAACTTATTTATATTAGATCAATTTTTTATATATATTATAAAAAATCAATTTTCGAGATTATATTTATTCTATTTTTTTTTCTTAAACAATGAAAATAGGCAGTTGTCAAAGGCGACGTGTAATAAAATTTTAGTCATTGCAACACTTGTTCGGCTAACATATTTATTGTATCGGAAGCAGTGAAGTATTAGGATTCGATGTTATTCTTAGATCCAAACTATTATTAGCACCCAAAGATTGTTATGAATTTATACAAGAATATTTATGTTAAATAAGAAATAAAATTATTCAATGCGTATAATCTGTTATTTCGTTTTAAAATGTATGACTTTAAATTGTTTGGATCGTCGTCTAGCATAAACGAATATATTTTAAATTTAATTAACATATTTTTTGTTTAAATGTGCAATAGTTATCTAAAGTCGATATTTTTTGATGTATATAGCAGAGGGCACATCCATTGATTTGAAGTCATCAATCATACAACCCTCGGAGCCTGCGTCCTCTAGAACTGAACATAGAACTATCACGACGGGCCGTCATATTACTTAATTTATATATAAAAACGTAATATATATTTTTTCAAAGAGTTTGTAAAGCGTTCTTATATAAATTGAGTTCATAGACAAAGGTATTGATTGATGACGGAAATCTATGGAACTGCGCGTCTTTACACCGGTTGCCGTCGTGGTGCCTCCTCTAGGCTCTGTTCTGATGACGTAGGCTTCCGTTTCCCATTTTTTTCTTTTAATTTTTTTTAAATTTATTTAAAATTGATCGATTCAACTAGATTTTTAAGTTGTCGAGTGAGCTAAGCGAGATGGAGGCACTACGATGGTAAGTGTTACGATTGTTTGTTTATCGTTATATATAGTTGAAGTTCAAAAGTGTTTGATAATAATTATCAAATATAGTATAATACTTAGATTTACGTGAATATTGGACATTTCAGACAGTTTCGGAGATTAGCTTCTACAAACAAACAAACAAAGACAAAAAAAATTGAAAAAAACTGGATTTATTCTATTCCTCTTCTTACATCCCCTGACTCGGTCTTTAGCATTTTTGTTTACTATGAACACACATTCGACATCTACAGTTTTATTATATATATATATATATATATATATATATATATATATATATATATATATATATATATAAAGATTAGGGACACTTACCCTTAATTTGCTCGGGTAGTAGCCGATACCTATAGCAACTCAAAACCAATTTTGTCAGACTTCAATTAAAGTTATACTGATTTCTGAAAGTTATGACTTTTTTGTCGAAATAAAAAATGGTCTATAGCACTTGGCGGTAATGTAGCTTCCTGTTAGTGAAAAAATGTTTAAAATCGCATTAGTAGTTTCAGAGATTAAAAACAAATTTTTACTTTTTCGTAATATTATTGTAGATAATAATGGTATTGGTACGAAGTGCTAAATGTAAAAAAAAAGATTACGAAGAATTGAGAAACTCCTCCATTTAGGAAGTCGGTTAAACAGGGTTTTCAATGTAATGTTGAATTATATTATTGTCTTTTGAACTTCAACTGTTTGATATAGTCCAGTTACATAAGGCGAAAGAGTACTTTCGAATAAAAATATTAAGCTATAAAATACTTTTATTTTGGTATTATGTATGTTTGTTCAAGTATCAAAAATCTTGTGTCTCGTCACAAGCTACCATAGATTTTATAATTTACTCAGTGTTCATAAAATGTAATTACATTACTTAATACTTATATAGCTGACAACTGTATCTCAACAAGAGTTGATTGAATTTTATACTCTACAACGGTTATAATATCTTACGCGATATTTAAAAAATGTATCTTAACGCGGACACGAGATTATATGATACTTTTCGAGACAACATGTTAAATGTCATAACAAACATATACACAAGATAAGTTAAACCCTTTTTTAACTGGGCTAATGTTATACATATGTATAGAAAAACAAACCAAAACTAAATATAATATTACAGTGTGCGGTGCAAAATACAAAACCCGTCCCGGCCTCACGTACCACTTCACGCACACGCACAAGGAGCCGGGCGGCAGCGACAACGACTCGCGCGACTCCCGCGCCCCGCACTCGCCCTCAGCCCCGCCCGCGACCGAGTATCAAGACAGTTACGTGACGTTTCTTAATAATCCCGCTACAGCAGGTGAGATTGTAGGTGTGGTGAAGCAGTGTGGGTGAGCTCTTTGCAGGGACAGTGGTTTTTGTGTATCGTGCAATGATGGGTATATTGGCCATAGTGTGTAAATCTATAGTGGAGCATTCGGTTTTAGCGTAGGGTTGTCAAAATACCAGTTTAATTTTCTTATTAAGTAGTGACAAAACGGATCACTTCGCCAATGTCACGTAGAATAAAGAAGAAAATTGAATACCAATTTTTGTGACGGTTTTGAAGTAAGCATTGTAGGCTCATGTCGAGGCAGAGGTATAGTGACAGTTAAAAAATCCTAACAATATTATAATCGCCTTTGATTTCGAGGGAAATGCCATTGAATGCAAGGGTTGTCAAAAATTAAAATGCAAATTTTCATGACGAATGGATTTGAAGTTAGCATAGGCAAGTTACAGTTATGCTAAAGATATCCTGCAGATTCTTCCCGACAGTCATATCAAAATAAGTATGATAGTCGGGTGCGCCTCACTCGAGTGTTACTCCACAAGATTATACCATCTAGACGCCTTCATTAGATGACTGTATGGATTAGTAGACTGGTTCTACTGCGACTGCGGTGTTTGAGTAACAACACACTGATATATTCACGTACGCGTTATCCGTTGATAAAACCGGTTTTTCAAAGCTGTTGACAATGTTAGACCGGTTTTTATCGGCTCGCGCTATTGACAATGTCAGACCGGTTATTTTCGACTCGAGCTTTTTATAGTGTCAGACCGGTTTTTTCAGCTCGAGCTATGGACAATGTTAGGTCAAACACGTCACGCTCAAAGAGAAAACACACGCCGCTGCCTTATGTAGTAGTGTACCCATCGTTGCACGGTTGTATGAAATTTTGTCTCTGTAAGGATACTTACTCATGTGCCTCAGACTAAAAGAGTAAAATAGACGGAGTTTCCAAAAATTAAACGTAAAGTCAAATAAAAATGTCAATATGTGTGTATGAGAACTGTTGTGTACACGTACAGACATCGTGGTATTTATAGTTTTTTTTATAGATATAAAAGTGTTATAGCTTATAAACAATATGCTTATAAACTGCAAAGAAAATAAAATTAATAGTAATAAATAGCTAACTGGTTTTTTATTGTAATAATTAAAATTAAAAAAAAACTTATAAACTCGAATGAAAAAAAATTAAATATTATTTTCGTTTCAAAAATTGTAAACAAATGATAAATAAAGTTCTCTCATTGGAAAATCGTAATGGTAGCATAAACAACAAAATCACGCTACTTATGCTGACTTTGACATTTTTTTATGGCAGACTTCCGTCTTTATAATCTTTTAGTCTGACCACTGCGCGTACACTGTTGGAAGTGAACGGCGATGACGGCATTTGCATAGCCACAGCAGATTAAACTACGAAGATTAAGTGCTGTACCTTATAAAGGAGTTACAACACCAACTTCGGGCTGTTACTGAGAATATATTGACAAAAACAGCAGAAATTCAGTGGGTATTGCACGTACAGACTAAAAATGATTGTGGGTTTAGTTTCAGTTTTGCCAGTAGAGAATCTGCCAGCGGAGCACTTTATGTTTTGAGATAAAATCTGTTTCTTTATATCTCTATATGCAAGTATTTAAGATTTTTGGTTAGTTTCTTCTTCAGACCTTCTAACCGGCGTATTGGGTTTGAAATTTCCAGTCTACTGGTTCGCATAATACTTTCTTAGATTTACGCGAATATTTGACATTTTAAATATAAATACGTTGATTAGAAGGTCTGAAAACAAAGCGCGCAAGATTATTAACATCTAGCTTTTTTTGATCCTGGTACGATTGTATTAGAAGTTGATTAATCCATTAGCTATAAAGTTGCTGGGAACTTCGCAAAATTTGTATTAAAATATTTCGAGCAGGCAAATTTTCATTTTGTCATTGTTTATTATATGGCAGAGTAGTTATTATAAGTAAATGATATTTGGTAGTCTGGGGGTAGAGAAATATAGTAATTTCACTTTCGACAGTGTACTTTGTGGACACCAACTCACATTTTGCTCAACTTTAACTATAACAAACTTTTTAAAGCAAGAAAACGCGTCACCACACAAACAAACAGTATTTAGCATAACACTATACACATTTAAACACTTCAGAAATAATTGAAAAATGTATTTAAAATAATATTTTTTTCCAAAGTGTCGATAACACTTGCTAAAGCTTGTCCCCGTGCACTTCCATATTATAATTTAATACACAAAGTAGAAATATTTTATATATTTAATGCATTGGAGAAGTTTCGAAATTTTTTGTAAAATATAAATGGAAAATTAAATTAAAATAACTTAGATTTATACATTTTCGGAATTAAAAAAAATGCATTTACGGAAAAATATATTTCATAAAATATTCGTGGCTTATTTTAGAGTGGAATCTGTATCCTACTAGCTATCAACACTAAGAAACTTCTTCATTGCACTAATTTAGATTTTATAAATTATGAATTGCATCCCTATACATTACTATTTTAATAAAAGAAAAAAATGCAAAAGAAATAAGACAATGGTCACTTTGTACTATTGAAAGTAAAAAACTCCAAAAATATTTTTTTGTTTGTTTGTTACCGTCTTACTACTGTAGAGTAATACTTAATAGTGATATTACATATGTGAAAACTTATGTGTTTGTGTATGTATGTTTGATACTCCTTCACGTCGAAACGGGTGGACGGATTTGTATGAAATTAAGTACACAGAAAGATCTAGAGTATCAAAAATGCTACTGCTAGGCACCTCGGTGAAGGGATTGTTAATCATTAATTAGCTACTAAACCACCCCCCACTCAATTATCCATATGCCAACAGCAGCAGGAACCCCTCAAGTACCGCGCAGGCCTTCGCCTCCTCCACGGCCCGCCTCCGCAGACACGTCATCATCGGACTCTGCGCACGCGCCTCTAGTACCCCCCGGGACTGTCGCCGGGACTGGAACCGCTATCGCGACTGGTCCCGGGGTTGGTACTGATACCGGGATAGCCACCGCTCACGGGATAGCCGGAACAGCAGTGCCGGCTTCAGTGTCCAGTGCGCCTGCTACTAGTAGTACTGAGTTGAAGGAGCCGGATACAAAGGTAAGTTGTATTGATTTTAAAGTAAAGTATCAAATATATTATGTACAAAAAAATATATTCACTTTAATCAATCGATCGATTGAATAACTGGTTAATCCTAAACATCTCCATTATGCATAAATAAGTTTTATTCAAGAACTTGAAGTAAGAAATACTTATATTCCCTGTTCCCACAGGCCTCGCCGTCACCCTACTGCGACTTCTGCCTCGGCGACGACCGAGAGAACAAAAAGACCGGCACACCAGAAGAACTCGTCAGTTGTTCCGACTGCGGCAGATCAGGTAAGAGACGCGGCAGACCGCCCAGGAACGGCGTCAGAAAGTGCTATCACATTGTGAACAGGGTGTGCGAGACACACAGGCATTTACGTGACAGCATAAAATTGAATGGCGTCGTGGAAATTCTATCCTCAATGTCGTATTCAGCCGACGCCTTCGATACATTTGCTTCACAGACGAAATTGTTAGAGAATTGCGAGTATACAACATCTCCCCCGTCCTCTCGCCAGAGCCCCGCACATGATGTAGAGTTACTCGTCAATGGCAATAATACAATATAGAATTTCACTTTTTTTTCTTTCAAACCTAATTTCGACTTTATGGCTATGATTTTATGGTATTAATTGCTTTGTTTTCTCCATAGACTAAGCAAATCGAATATAACCTATATTTATACGTTTTTTAGTTTACCCTTTTAGGCGGTTTCGTTTTTGTGTTGTCACAAAGTGTGTTGCATCACATATATTAGCTTCTCACCAAAGAGGTTAGCCTTGCGTTAGAATAATTGCATACATTCCAAGTCATTAGGCGATTAACATATCTTATATGAGAATTTTAATAAATTTTTATATTTCTCATATATTCTTATAATAGGACTCTTAAAATACCATTACTACACACACTAGAATTACTTGTAGTATTTGATATTCTAACACTTGTTATGAGTGAATTTTAATGAAATCGTTGTTTTTTTCTCCAAAATATAATAAATTTTATGTATTAATATAATATGAATGAAATATTTGAGAGTTATTTAAAATTCATAATAATAAGGCCTTAATGGAAGACCGAAATTATACTTTATTAATTCTGTGGAACAGAAATATATTTACGATTTAATATTGTTCACATATAAAATATTATTTTGCAATATTTTTTATTGAATTTAAATATTTAAAATTTATAGATAAATATAACCTTTTGGGTGTACATTAATGAAACTTGTGATCTTAATGTTGCCATGTTATCCTGTAGTGACAATGGATGCCAAATAATTGTAATTTTATGTGTTATCTGTTGTAATATTTAGGAAATTAAAAAATTAGGCGACAATTTACTGTGTAGTTTCACGTGGCATCATTTGTTTTTTTTTTCATATTTTTATATGATTAGGCTTAATTTTTTTTCTTATTATTGTATTTTATTAAAAAAAAAACTATTTTATTTAGATCTAAATATATTTTTCTTGTTCTTTTTATATATTTAGTACTTATAAATGAATTATAAGAAATTATAACTTTGAAACAGTTATACTTACCAAATAATAATATGCTACGTGTCACTACACCTCAATTGGACGTAGTTATGCAAAATAGATCAATTACAAAATCATACTTTTGAGAAAATAGAAGTTTTAGTAAAATTTGTATATCAAAATCGTAGTTTTTATTGCGTATTATATATACTTTCTGTATGTTATAAGTTGATATGTAGGTGCCTGCCATTAATGACAGTAATTCAAAAACGGTTTTCGTGGACTGGTTCCATTTTGCATAACTGTGTCCAATGGTCATAGCCTGTCTGACTTTATTGTCTTAGGCATTCATTTGTCTTCCTTTAGAAAAATGTGTGCCTTTATTAATCAATGTTTTCTAATTGGAGATTTTATCACTTTTATCGAAATTTTTAAATAATATTGTCTGTATATTTCTGTTATTTGTGTATACAGGCTATTTATATTATAATATTATTGTTGGCCTTTACACCCCCGTGTAATATATCTTTATATGGGTATCTGATAATATAAAGAGGATGTAATTTTTTTTTTAAATTAAGACGTCAATTTTGAAGCCTATAAAATTATATTGTACTGTTTTTTAGTTTTTCTAACCTCGTGTATTGTTAGATTTATCCATACTGTTCTCTTTTGAATAGCTCACTCTGTATCGATTTTATATTTAAATCGACGTTTTTTTACTCATTTACGTGTCTCCGTATTCCTAGCTTCTAGTCGCTTTATGTATACGGTCATACATTTGCTTTATCAAACGTCGTTCAAATTAAAATAGATTGCAAAAAGTACTTATAAATCACCCTTGTGGGGTAAAAATTCGTTTTTGACACAAAAATAAATTATTTATTAGAAAATAATATAACGGAGAGTAGTTTTTTTTCGTTTCATATTATTATTTTACATATAATAGGGGAGTATGAGCAATATTGATATTTGTAGAGCTTTTGAAAGTGCCTTTTATATAAAAACCCTTTATGTATAACCCAAAGATTTGTATCAAAAAAAATTAATTTCTAAAGACTAAATTTACGTTTTTAAAATAATAATAATTAATTATTATCATTCCTATAGTTTTATGTCGTTTTCTCTTAAATGTTTTAATAACGTGTATCTTATTTTAAGTTAGTGTTTAAAGCATAACCAAATTTTATTATAAGATGGCTCTTTTACTATAATTATGTTTTTTTTTTAAATTTCGGAGTTTTCAATATATGTTGTTAGCTATACGCAAAAGTGTAGTTCTAATTGTATATTATAATACATTTTCAAATATTTCTTATTTTACGAACACCATGTATGGTCTTAGGAGCTGGCGGCGAATTTCTTTTTGTGTCATTTTAACAAATCAAATGATGCCATAAATAGTCGGGAATTTATTTACTTATAATATAGAATATGCGTCATGTTTTTTTATACAGTAGCATCGTTATATAATTGTAATAAAATGTCTAGTTCCATAAACATTCAGTATATATTTTTTCTTAAATATCATACCGGTACGCATACTTTAAACGCCCGCCATTTTGCTCGTGACGTCATAGTCTATAATAACAGAGGCTGTGTTATAATGGACTTTGACGTCACAATAGGTCTGACCAATGGCGTTGCGTTTCAACTACTTTGGATTTCCCACCTATATTTGCACTTTTTAATAATTATTTTCTTAAACAAAAAGAAGTGACTTGAAAAATATTCATTCAAAAGCAATAAAGATTATAGAAAAATATTTCACCTTTATTTAAATCACACGCATATTCCATATTACCGACTTAAATTGACTAATTTTGAATTAAATTATAATTCTGTTTCTAGCTCCTAAAGTATTTGCTCTCAGAACAAAATCAGTAAACAAAATCTAATATGGCATAGATGTTTGTTATATTTAAAAATATTAATATTATTATTATATTTTAAGTTCAGTTCCTATTGTTGTTAGGAAATGTTTATTGAATCTTTGTTTTTTTTTTTATTTCTGTGCAATTCAAAAGCAAAAATAGTAATACCAAAAAAATTATTTTACATCCAAAATGTTTGTTACCATTATCAATGATTTTATTTTAACGTTATTGACATATGTGTATACTTATATATTGATATCTACGGTTAAATAATGACAAATAGATTATTATTATTATTATTATATGGTAATACACAGATTTATATATAACTATCGATAAGTTATTTCAAGTGATAGTCGATTAATTTATGTCGGCGGTCTCTAAGTATATATCTAAGTAAACATGTATGTATTCAGCCATTTTTGACGTCCCACTGCTGGAGGTGGGCCTCCCTTCAATACGTGGGGGATCAGGATAATAGGAGGGGAGTAAACATTGTTTTATGACTTAATAAATATATTAAATAATTGCTTCATAACACGTAATAAATATTTTTTTTGTTCGCCAACCCGCACTTGGCCAGCGTGATGGACTATGACCTGATCCCACTCGTACTGAAGGGAGGCCCGTGCTCAGCTGTGGGCCTTTAAAAAGGGCTGAAAACATACATACAATATATTATTTTTATGTTGCAAATTTGCATATTTATCGTATACAAGTTTTTGCTTAGGGACCGTTGGTTGGTAAATGTTGTAACAAATAAGTCATAATTACACAAAGTAAATGGACAGTACGTTTAGTCTTTTTAGTTCTGATTTGATCAAAAGTATCAAAATATGTTAGTATGGAAGTGCATAAAGCTAATTTTAGGATTTACTACATATTATACACCATGTATATGTAAGGCTGCGTGCAAACTGGGACGGTTTTAAACGACGTTACATTTTAAAAGTTATTTGAAAATAATTGCTTATCAATGATTTTTGTTTGTTTTAAAGAAGTTAGTCGCGTCATATAATCTCCCAGTCTGATAGCGGCCTATAGTCATGTTTTTTTTGTAAACACCATGGAAATGATTAATATATTAAAATGTATTCTCCAAATGTACGTTTGAGTTTTTATTTGATTGTGCTGAAGAATAGTGAACTGCACTTCCTTACTACGATAATTGTTTAATAAAAAATTTATGTCTCGTGTCCCTTTTACTTTTTGTTGTTTATTTTCACTATTGTTCGGCACATTTACCTCCCTCATACGAAATATACCTATCGGAAATACTTTCAGAACGTCCAATGTAATGTGCCCAACAGTAAGTGAAACTGTTTTGTTATTATATATATATATTTTTTTAATGTGAATTTCTCGTATATAGCAAATTCATGTTATTTTGCTTATACAGGTTGTACTATAATTGTTAAACTATTTTTTTTAAGTTTTTTTTTGTGATTCTTAGGTCATCCAACCTGTCTACAGTTTACAGTGAACATGATAGTGTCGGTGCGCAAGTATCGCTGGCAGTGCATCGAGTGTAAATGTTGCTCCGTCTGCGGGACCAGTGATAATGATGTGAGTTTGTTTATCTATTGATGTTATATTGAACATTGTACTAATAGGGTCTAAAAGAGAGCCTTATTAGTATTGTCGTTTAGGTTTTATTTGGTTTGGATTATTTGCATTTAGGGAAGATAATTTAACGAAAAAAAAATAGCATGAGCTTATGTATAATGTATGAGTAGGAAGATAGTACGTAGGTAACTACTGGACAGATTTTGATAAAATTTGATATGATGATAGATGGTTATTCGGGTCAACATATTTTAGTGTTGAAAATATCTCATCTCTGAGAAATCTACACTAAACGTTAAAACGTACTTAGGGACGAACCCAAATGGAGTGAGGAAGAGTCGCTAGTATGCTACGAGTATAAAGATAAGACAACACTACATAGTATAAAACAAAGTCGCTTCCTGCTGTCTGTCTTTGTCTATATATGCTTAGATCTTTAAGACTACGCAACGGATTTTGATGCGGTTTTTTTAATAGATAGAGTGATTTAAGAGGGAGGTTTATATGTATAATACATTCATATTATAGTACAGAAAAGCCGAGATATTCAAAGATTTGTATTCCACGAACTCGAGCGAAGCGGGGTGAGTCGCTAGTGTATACTAAACTACATAAATATTCCGTCATATTGACAGGACCAGCTCCTCTTCTGCGACGACTGCGACCGCGGCTACCACATGTACTGCCTCGCGCCGCCGCTCGAGACGCCGCCCGAGGGCTCCTGGTCCTGCGCGCTCTGCATCGAGGAGTTCCACTGAGTATGCACTCGGTGTGTTGTGTGTTTATATGTACATATGACTCGGTGGTAGATTCTGAGGTCCTGGGGTTTGAGTCTCAGGTCAAATAGAAATAGTAAATGGGTTGGAAACGACCAAAGGATCCTGGTTCGGCACACTTTGCGTCGAGGAGTTTCATTGAACATCCATTCTCAGTTTGTTTGTTTATTTGTTTGTATGCCTTGTTGGTCTAGTGAGAAAAATGTATGTATAATAGATCCTAAGGTTAGAAACCTTGATCAAGTCAGAAATTGTTATTAGCTTATTCTTCTGCATTTTCTCAGTAACTGGAAGAAGGAAATTGATGGTGTGACCCCGATGAAGGCTATTGTTTTCATTTCGTTTAATAGAAACGTCTCCTTGTCCTGTGCTGCAACACACAGTGTAAAGAACAAACAGACACACTACTGTTAGTAATTTATTAATATAGAATGTGGCGCTACCTGTATATAATCCTATTAATTATTTATGCGAAAGTTTGAATGGATGTGTTGTTACTCTTTGACGCCAGAACGGCTGAACGGATCTCGATGAAATTTAGCACAGAGATAGAGACTATAGTCTGGAATAGCACATAGGTTACTTTTTATTCACACATTACATTTTTTCACTAGGGACGAACCCGAGCGAAACGAGGGCGAGTTGCTAGTATCTATATAAATAAAAAAGGATGTTTGTCCTATGCGTTTAGGAACCATTGATCCGATTGTGATGAAACTCTGGTGGGTTATTCTGTCTGTCTGTCTGCTAAAATTCCTGGCCAAAAAAAGGATTTTTCTTTGAACGTGCCTAAACCATTCAAGTATAGGGTGCGTCTCAAGCGAAAAGTCCCTATTATATATAGATTTAAGATTCTACATAAAAAACGTATGAGCATATTTTAACGATTTAATGTTTCATTCCAGGTGGGTAGTATTAAAATAGTGCAGTATGGCTGTAACGTACAACGTGTGTCACTGAGTGTCGATTGTATAGACGATGTTGCCATAGATTATAAACATAGGGTAGAGCTTAGTGTGGATTTATGGTCACCTCACTTTACAACCACTATGAGTACAACGTGTGATTTTTTTTTAATTGTGACCTGATTTTTTATTATTTTTGATAAGTTTTTTTATTGTGAATATATATATATATATATATATATATATATATATATTTTAAATATATGCGTAATTTTTTCACAGTGAAATGTAGGTGTAAGCGTTTTAGAGATTACTATCGACGAACAAATAATCATTTTATGTTGTTATTATTATTTTTATTTATGATAGTAAAAAAATAATAAATATGCACTATAAATCCGCACCAGGCATTTTACGAAATCTTTTCTTGTACTCAAATTGTAAAAAAATCACGTCTATGTATAGTTCTTTCTACCTCTGTCGGTGCTTGCTTTAGCTCTTTTATTTTCTAAATTCACGACTGCCCATCATACATTTGTCATAATAATGCCATCGTGTCATGTAATAGACTTATGTAATAAATAATTTAAATAACAAAATGATAATTCTAATAAAGGCCTAAATCAAATTTGTACGTACTTTGATATTTTTTATAATACTTTCTTAGATTTACGCGAATATTTGACATTTTGTATAAAACTATTTTTTTTTGCAAAAATTAATTCAATTAAACTCTAAATAAATCCGCGAAAAAATCGGAAAAGATAGTATTATTTAATATTTTTGTCAATATGTTCACATGTTAAGAGATTTGAGATAATAATTTTGCATTTTGTAGCCTATTTATTGAAAAAGGTATCATATTTCAATTAAAAGTAATTATGTGTCATTTTGATTGTCCTCATAAGCTGCTACTGGCGATACATAACAAATCTGAATGCATACAAAAAACCTCTTGTATAGAGCATTGTATGGAGAATGATTTAATAATGTTATATTCCACGACGGTAAAACATTGATTAGTTCAAAGTCGTGGTCTTTTTAAATGAATATTTTTTGGTCCAAAGACCTTTAGACTTTTGACCTTTAGAAAGACCAAAGAAAAAAAATTGAAAGGAAAAATAATGAAACGTCATGGTATTTTTAAACGTATATATACATATACGTTTAAAAATCCAGCCAAAGCAATTTAGACTGGGAACTAAAATGGCGCGTATTTAATATAAATGTAAGTCTTTGTTATGTAATATGACATTAAAAAAATTGATTTAAGCCTTTATTATTCCTATAGCTTGATACTTCAGGACTTATTTATGTTTTTGTTTTATTAGTCATTTTTTTTCTATGCTTTCCTTTACAAAGTTGAATGACAAACGTAACTGAAATACGTAATATTATTGAAACGAATAGATGTAATTAAATTACAAGTATTACCTTACTTATGATTTTTTTTAATATGTAAAACAATATTTAAACTTATGATAGATTTTGTTTTCCATAAAGACTGGTATAGGGTATGTTCTAGGAAGAGGATTCATTAATTTCATAGTATCACTGTTTTTTTTTATTTATATCCGATAATTGTCGACAAATCTTATATTAAAAAATACGGCGATTCAAATTATAGTTTAAATAAGAACAACACTTAACTAATAAATATTTTTTAATTTTTTTTTTACTATATTATCTGGGGGTTTTAGCTTTAAGTAAACGTTTTTACTTAACTTTCGAGTATCATATAAAAGTTGTTCATACGAAAGAATATAATAATTAAATATAATTTTAATCTGTACAAATAAAATTGTTGAGTTTAATTATAATTTCTTTTTTACATTTTTATCTGACAGTCGAAAAATCTTTTTTTCTTTAAATAAAAATCATCATCTGTTAGAAAATAATTAATGTAGTTGCATTCCAAATTAGTCGTAATTCAAAATAAAAATAGGGTGTTCACTTATAAAATATTATTAAAAATCTCTTTTTTTTCAAATTATTTAGTATGTATTTGTGTATATTTAATACGATGGGCTTTATATGTTCTAAGATATGCTTTAGCAGCGGTGTACATAATGGCTTGGCTATATTTTTTTTACAAATTTTTCTACTTTTTTTTTTAATTTTTTTCTACTAATCGGATTTGAATCTGCTACTACGATAAAGTAGTTATTTTTTTGTATATTTTCCTCTACTGATATCCGCATACGGTAATATAGTTTGTTTTGTATGAAACGTGTTATTGTAATACAGATTTGTAATGACGTTTCTAATTATTATTTTTTTAATTAGTATATTGTCATTATTATTATTGATTAAAATTTAACCGCCTTGGATCTTGCTGTTTGAGTAGAGTTGGATTTTGAAAAAGGTCGTTTATAATAAAGTACAATAGGTTTGTGTTTTGTTTGGTTAATTTTGAATTTTAAGATTTTGAGTTTGTTGTTAATAACAGGTTTCATACATAACACAGATAGGTGTAGGCTCGTAAGTAAAGCTGTGATCAGACTAGGAGGTTGTGATGGACATAGTGTGGGTTTACAAGATTTTTTATTGCTTTTTACATGTAATTTTTAGCGTAGCGGCTGAACAAAATTCCGCTTTAACTTCGATAAACTCCTACCAGTCTCGACGTTGTTGTAAATTATTGTACATGGTTGTGTGTCACTGCGACGAAATTTTTAATCTTTTTTTTTTAATTTATACTTAAAATGTCAAATATATGTTGACACTGACATTTGACATTAGTAGCCTTCACATAGATAATATATAGTGGTATTCAAATAAGTTGAAATAAGATCTTGTCTTTGTGTTGGATCGCGCCACGTAAGTTGAGCCAACATGGCGCTAATTCAGTTTATATGAATATATATTAAAACTTAAAAGCGAATTTGAAATGCAGGTTCCATAGTAGAAAGTATAAAATTACTTACATTTGAATACGTTGTTTTATTTAGTTTTATTTAGCATTGTATCACGTGTATATGTTGCAGCTAACTAGCTTGTTGACCGCCAGTTGAACGGCGCCGTTTAGTTAAGAGACTAGGTGTTAATCGAATGTCTAAGCAAGTTGGCTGCGACATAATTATGTATATATAAAGTCATTGTTTTTGGTTTTTATTAATAATATAATTTATGTTATATTTGTCTCTTTTGACGGTGTAATGTAGATATTTTGATACGTATTTCCTTATTTCTTTCCTGGTCTGGTGCGTTTTTTACTTTTATGAAGAGTTTTAGTCTGGATTTTTTATTTTGGACAAACCCGTCGGTGTAACATACAGCCAGTGATAGTTGTTCAATCCCGCTCTTTTAAATAAGGAGTTGTTAGTTGTAAATGTTAAATAAGATTACCATCCCCGTACGTGTGTCATAACTAAGTGTGGTGACTTAACGAATAAACGTTAAAATTATTCCATATTTGTTTTATTTTATACCCCTTTCAACTGAGTCGGTTAATATGGATATTGAAAGTTCAAATTAAAAAAATAATATGGTCTGATCCCGCACGTATTGAAGCAGGCCCGTGCCCAGCAGTAGCGTTAGACATTCATACATTTAACCCGTATAATATTTTATGTTTCGAATTGAATTATAAATTATAACAATCATAAATAATTTTCCTTGACAATATTTTACTAGTTGTGCTCCATGCTTATAAATCAAATATTGATTATTGCCAATTAAAGTGTTTTGAAATCTTTTATAATATACTGTTTTAGTTCTACGTCAAAATTTTCTAAATTGATCTTGTAAACGCCTTAGAAAGGCTGCTGAGTAGTCATATCTACTAAAATACAAGTATAAAGCAGTTTGCACGTAGGAATAGAATTTCTATTCGTGGATGGGTTTAGAGCGATTATCTATCTATCTATCTATAAATAAAAATGAATCACGGAAATCTATGTGTGCGCATTATTTCCGATCGACTTGGACCAAATTGGAGAATTCTGTTTTTGTGTTTGTTATTGTCAGAACAAACTTTGTATGGAAGAAAATTAAAAGAAAGATTTTTTTTTACTAAAATAAGTTTTTCTTTAAATCTCATGATATGAAAAATGAGTGAAATAGACTGGCGTG